AAATCAAATGATAATTTTCGAAATTGAACACGACAAGATTTGTCAAAAAAATACGCAGTATAACTTTCAAACTCATACAAATTCGAGAACATCTTTCTCTATAAAGTAACGTTTCGATAGCTAAGAGAAAACTGAAAGCCCTAAGTAAAAGTCATCGCCAACTATAAAGATAATTATTATAAGTTTGGTTTTCAAAAACACCTACGTAATGATAATTGTTTGTATGCCATTGTTTACTAGAGAACGAAAATATTGTATAGCTAAACAGATTTTTAACACAAATATTTCTCACAAACTACGTTCCAACGCAAATGTCTATTGTTTGAAAATGAGTATGGAGAAGACTGTGAGCAAGGTAGGCTCTGATGAGGTGCATTTGAACTTCCGGCATATGATGGACCTGCGCCAGAAAATGATCACCTGCATTCAGCACTACAAGCTCTTGGTCAATCATATTACAGTTTATTAATTATTCATTACTTGGTTATTTGAATTTTTAAATCGAAGCAAATTATTACACACACACACATCACACACACACACACACACACACACACACACACACACATATATATATATATATATATATATATATATATTTGATATATATATATATATATATATATATATATATATATATATATATATATATATATATATATATATATATATATATATAATGTTTCAAATAGTTAAACAAAAGTTGAATGTTTTTTTGATAATTCCTCGCATACACCTAACAAAAAATAATGTTTGCCCCCACGTTTATTTTCCTTACAACTTATATCTGGATTTATGACAATTAGTGGAAGATGATTTAGAAAAACATTTTTGAATTTAGTTTGATAAATTATAATTGTTAGAAATAAATGAAGTTTTCGCTACTCACAGGAAGAAAATGTAGGTAGCTTCCACCTGCCATCAATTCAATTCCTCTTGAACGATCTTCACTTATGGAAGAAACTTAAGAAGGATTACTATTTGTCAAAATAAAATCTTTGCCAGTTACTTTCGTTTACTCAAAAAATTTTACCTTGAGAATAATATATTTTGAAAATTCTTTCACTTAAAAATTTCAATATAAATGTAACAATCATACTTTTTAGATTATTTTTGAATTATTCTTTTATTTTATATATAAGAAATTTCATGTTTTTTGAACTTTTTAAGTTATTATTAAATGTTCAACTTGCAAAGCAAGTCACCGCGTTTTTAAAATAAAGCGTATGGCAGTCGGTGAAAAACAAGCAATAATCAGTTATTGAGTGAAACGCCTATGTAAGGTTTAAAGATATCAGATTTCAATTGTCGGATCACATAACAACCTTGGATATATTTAGGTTGATGGGAAAAGGGGAAAATAATGTCGCATTTGTAACGTTCACTTTGAAGTTCAAGAACTCGACACGATTTTACTTTATTAATCAAAAATAAAACCATTACAATCAGCAAATCTGTTTATTCTTGTAGCTTCAAAGTCTGAATGTTCATCGTGACCCATCCACTGAGCTAAACGTCGCCGGTTGTCTTAAAAGAATCACTTCTAGTCACAATTCGTTCCAGAAACGAATCGTTTTTGTTTCGCAAAAGGAAAGAAAACGACACTTCGAGACGAAGATATTTTGCTTATATTTTGCTGATCCAGCTTTTTAATCTTGCCGATTTGCTTCAGGTGGTCACAAATTGTGGTGTTAACGTAAAGTTCCTTTGCAAGTTCCTGTGTGGTTTTGTATGGATCTGCATCAATACTTGCCCTCAATTCGTCGTTATCAACCTTATATAGTCTCCTTTGACCCTCTTCATCTTCTAGGCCAAAATCACCAGAATGGAACTTGTTAAAACACCTTTGTGCGGTTCTTTTAGAAGTACCTGCATGTCCCTAAGCTTGGATAACATTTTGAGTTGCCTCTGAGGCAGTTTGAACTTATGAAGGAAAGTCATGCAAAATTCCCGCTTAAAGCACCGCGCTACTTATTTCAATGCGTTTACGTAGATAAATAAAATGTTATAAAACATTCAGTGGTAGCCAAAAATAATTTCCTAAAAATAACTCCAAGAAGTTGAACCTAGTAAAAAGCGACATCATTTTAACCACTTATTAATAATCAATGATAAACAAATTTAGTGATTTTGAGATTAAGCATGAATGACAGAAAATACGTTATAGTGCTTTTTAATTTCAACAGCAAAGTATTTTAACAAACTTTGCCAACTTAAGATCTATCCTAAACCTATAGCAAAATGACCTAAAAAGTTCAGAGATATGCAAAAACATTCATATAAATAGAGCAAAAAGACAGACCCAGCAGAGATTTTTTTCTCAGCAAAGATTAATCAATTAGGGCCGCCAAGATACCCATTGTGGACTGGTGGACTGGGAGAAGAAATTTTGGTCCTGTGACCTTCAGCTATCAATGAACCTAACTGTCCGTCCAACATTTTCATGATCACTAAACCTCACGAATGACTGTAAATTGCTCAAAGTACTGTTATAAAATTTGACTCATTATAAAATTTGATTTTATTTTATTATACTTTAATCTGTCTCATTTTAATTTTCAATTCATTCTATAATAACACATAATTTAAAACTCTGAAGATGGCGCCCACGCCGAAACGGCGCTGTTGGCTTTAATGTGACTTTGTACATAACAAATCTGACACTGGTTGTAAATAAATAAAATAAATATGATTTGCAACAACTTTGTCTTGTCTAAAAGGCTAATTAACGCAAAATGAGAAATATCTTGAATGAAATATTTATTTATATATATATAACATATATATTTACATCATGTATGCATGGATATATATAGCTTAATTTTTTCAAACTTTTTAAATTAGATATTTTTTATTAGTTACAAAAAGAACAAAATCTTTGTAAATACTGTAGGAACTAAAGTTTTTTAAGCAGCATTTTAGAACCTACTTTGTAAAAGCATTCTTGTAAAACATGCCTACTGCAGATGAAACTATTTTTTTTACTACAAACATGTGTAAATGATTTTTTATATTCCCTTGCCACTGTATTGTTTGACTGTCATTTTTTGGTAGTCTGTTCGGTTTTATTATTAAAAAAGCTCAACTATTTTAAGTTAAAATTTTATTATTATTATACATACCTACATACCATGTAAAGTTACGCCGATATCTTTATAAGATCGATGACATTGGGATATTGAGCACATGGGCATGAATAAATTTAATATATATATATATAAAATAATTAAGTAAATAAAAAAAATTATTTAAATGTTATGTTATAAAAAACAAAAACTTCGTGTAGACAATTAAATATAGAAAAGTAAAACAATGAAATGTCAACTACGACCAAGAAATGTTTACGCTCCAAATTATATTCTTTTTATTCCATAGAACTAAAACAATTATTAGCCAGGAAATAATTCTTATGCCATATCTACTATATCCATGCTTGTATGCGTGTTTTCTGGGACATCAGATTTTGCTTTAGTTAAATTCAGCAAATAGGTACATCTCTGTTACATGGCACTTGTAGGCGCTAAATTTGTATTATTTATTTTTTAGTTCGTGACAAACTTAAAACAATTTTGTTGTTTATTAATATTTCTGATTTTAAATAGAGCAGGTTAGTTTAAAATTTTAAAAAACTTATTGGATCATATATATTTTTTCAATTTTAAGCTACCGGCATATCATAGATTTGGCAGATTTTATATAAAAATGGCGGTGTTGATTGTTGTTGTTTTGCTGACTGAGAAACTTGTTTATTTGGAAATCACAAATGTAATCCAGCAGATTTGCATAATTCATTAAACTTTGATTGCCACAAAACTTGATTTCTGTTTGTGCTTAACTAACCTTAACGAAAATTGCAACTTTCGAAAGTTATTGGTATTGAGTTGGTAATTGATTTTTTTAATTAATTTTATTTCAATTTAATTTATTATTAGTAGTAGTAGCAGTAATGCTGTTCTGGAGGTTATCCAGAGAGCATGCTGATTTGTTGATTGATTGTTGTTCATTCAACAATCAATGCCTGCTTTAAATTTGTTCATTGGTTGTGCCTCAACAAGTTCATATGGTAATGAGTTCCATTATTTGCAACTAGATTGAATAAGTAATTCTCTCTGCCTCTATGTCTTGTTATGTTAACTCATTAAAAATTAATTTATTTAATTTAATTTTGAATTTATATACAATGCATATATACACATTCTTATATTGATATTTATATAAATATAAAAGCTTTTAGATTTTTTTAAATTATTCAGTCCTAGAGTCTTCAGTGATTCTAAAACTTTTGATTTTTTCTTAGTTTTGTCTAGGTTAGTCTAGATGTCCTGGTTATGACATTAAACTGACCCTCACTGCCTTGTGAGTGATGTTGGATCATCAAAGGCTAGGCCCACCGCTTATAACTGTGGTTGCGTAAGGAAGGGCATCCTGCGTAAAAATTAGCCAAATAAATTACTTATGATGGAATGGCGTCGAGGGGTATTTCGGTTTCATCATAGGTAGCCAAACGGCAACCCCGATCTCGGGGAAAATGTCGTCTAAACGTGTGTTGTTGTTGTTTGTCTAGGTTAGTCTAGGCCTAGACTTGATCTTTGATTCTGGCATGGCATACCTATCTTGTTTCAGATTAATAATAGTGTGGCTGAAAGTTTTTTCTCTCATCTATATAGAATAAAAACTAACCTTGCCTTGATCATATTCTTCTCTAGTTACATCATTCATTAGATTAGTGGTTGACATTAGTTTTTACTAGGATTAATTATTATTATTGTAACTCACTCTACTTATGGTCTTCTTGATTCTACACTATCCCTTAATTAACTAAAGCTTTTGACTCTGCTGCTTGTGTAGTTGCTCGTCCTCTCCATATCTTGCTCATTTACACTCTGGCTATCTATAAAGTATAGAACATCCAATGAATTCAACATAAATATTCATTCGCTAAATCCTTTGAACTTTGTAATTTCTAACTGTATTTATTTTTACAGTTCTGAAATAATTAAATGGGAGACAGTTCTCGAATCATTCCAGTGAAGGTGGCTGTGAGATGCAGGCCCCTCATTCAAAAGGAGGAGAATGAAGGGTGCCAGGGGTGTCTGCAGTTCGTTCCCGCCGAACCTCAATTGATTGTTGGTAAGGACAAAGCATTCACATTCGACTACGTCTTCAACCCATCCACGAGCCAACAAACCGTCTACTCTGTTGCTGTCTCTCCACTTGTGAAGGGATTATTCAAGGGTCTGCCTTCGTGGTTTCTTTTTTAATCATCTTACACTTTAATGCTTGTAATGCTTTACATTTGAAATTAGGTTAAATTCATTTCATTTATTTGGATAAGAAACTTACAATTGAAATGTGCAATGGAGACGTATCACGAGGAGGTCTGCTAACAAACAGGTTACAATGCCACTGTCCTGGCCTATGGACAGACAGGCAGTGGAAAGACCTTCTCAATGGGTGGTGGCTATGGAGTGTGCATGGAGACAAATGAGGATGCGGTTGGGATCATTCCAAGGGTTATCCGGGATCTCTTTGAAGGCATTAGCAAGATGCAGGATAAGTTTGAGTTCATTATCAAAGTGTCTTATCTTGAGGTCAGTTCACTTTTTTTATTACTATCAACCTCTCAATTATTCCTTACGTGAGATGATGTTCTATTAGTAAATGATGATGTTTTAAAGAGTGCATCGTCTGAAAAAAAAGTTAAATTTAAAAAAAAATAATTTGGCTGGATTACAAATTTTGAAACAGCTTTACAAGGAAGATTTATTGGATCTGTTTGTACCAGTGCAGAAGAGGGAGAAGGACCAGGTGGTCATCAGGGATGATGTGTCTGGGGGCATAAAGGTTACTTTTTCGCTCTCGTGATATGATTATTATTATTATTTGTTCTTGTCAGTTATTTATTCATCTTCCACTGTTAAATGTCTTGCAAAACTTTTAAAATAAAAGTTAATTTGATTGATTAGAAATAGTTTTGAAACAAATAAGGTCTTGTAAGTTTCATAATTTAAAAAAAATTTAAACTGAATTACAAAAATTACAAAATTACTGAACTTTAACAAAGTGTTGTTACTGAAAGAAAAGTGAATGTACACATGCAGTTGACGGGCATGAGCGAGATTGAAGTACACACATATGAGGAGACGATGAGGGCTCTGGAGGAGGGCTCACAGGGCAGGACCATAGGGGCCACTGCAATGAACAACCAATCAAGTCGATCACACGCCATCTTCACGATCCATTTGGATAGGAAGAGCAAACTAGATAGGTTGGTCATCTTTTCACATTATTCATCCATATAAACTGTTTTAAGAATGTTCGCTACATTCTTACTGCTCAGTTAACTACATTAGTTGAATTTATCAACATTTTACTTCTTAATCTTGCTTGATAATAATAATAAAGAAAAAAGATATTTGGAATGTAGAAATGAATTTAAGTAAATTTGAACAGCCACGACTACTGTAAAGCAAAGTTTCATCTAGTGGACCTGGCGGGTTCGGAGAGGATCAAGAAGACGCATGCAGAAGGGGAGCGCCTCAAAGAAGGCATGGATTCTTTTTAATTATTCCATAATAATAGTTGTCATTCATTCCAAGATTTCTTCTTTTTTGGTTGTTGGTGTCAGGTTTGAGTTAAGTCCAAAATGAAATGAGTTTGGAAATTATTTCTGTGTTGCAAATTTATCTTTCTTTTTTTTTTAATTTTTATAAAGTCACTCACCATCAGACCACTGCATCATATTTAACCATTTGCCCGATTGCTATTCTGCATACTATGACGTAATGACCCGAGATGACATTTTCATTCATAATCACTTAATAAATTAAAAAAAGGTTTAATTTTGTTATTCATTGATTCACAAACATCTTCTTCATACCTGTTATTGCACTTCAAAAGAAAATTTGATGCGTCATATTTATGAAAACTATTCGGTCCACTGTCCTCCAGGCATAAACATCAACAAGGGGCTGCTGGCACTTGGGAATGTGATCAGCGCACTGGGAGAGGAGTCATCGGTCAGGAAGGGCCACATCCCATACAGAGACAGCAAGTTGACCAGGCTCCTCCAAGGTGGGTCCTTCTGTCAATCTCTATGCATGGTGCTATTTAATTTTCGGAGGTGTCAACAGCACACTTGTGGATCAGTCTGAATCCACTTATTATACAATTGCATGTGATTGGTTGGGATCTTTATGCATTTGAACCCAGTTCTTGCAACGGCAGGACCTGAGACACCATTGCACTGTCCTTCTTATGCTGTGTGTGTGTGTGCAGTGTTTGACTATTGTTGTGTTTCAGTGTGTGTCTTGTAGACATCTATGTTATATCATTATATTTGAACGCATTTGTTTAAAACTAACTAGTGGCAATTATTTTAATTGTGATGATGTTGATGATGATGATTTTGATTCTATCGATGATGGTGATGATGAGGATTTCAATTGCAAATAGATTCTTTGGGTGGAAACAGTCATACGTTGATGGTGGCGTGCGTCAGCCCCGCAGACTCCAATATTGAAGAAACTATCAGTACCCTGAGGTGCGTTGTTTTGTTCGTGTGCTGGTAGTAGGTAGTATCAGCACATGTTGCAATGTGTTGCTATACTGGTAGTGTTATGTTGTGTTGTGACTTGATGTGTTGTATGTAATGATGTTATAACCTTATAAATGTGCTGTGCTGTATGCTGTTATGCTATGTTGTGTGCTATCAATATCATCTTGAACATTAATGTTTCAATTTTAATTATTAACTTTCTTTAAGTAATTTGTGGTACTTGGTGAAAAACCTCAAAACCATCCCACTAACAACTAACGCCCGTTTTGCTAGCATAGTTACGTCTGTCAGTTTAATAACAAGTAACATCCCCTTGCCAAACAAAAACAGAAAAATCAAATTAAAAATATATCAGATGGAATTAGCGAAAACTGTCAACAAGGGATTTATGAAATTTTTACATTAGTGAAATTTTTATATTGTCTAAAATTTTATTAAAAACCAAAACCTGGAACATTTCTGTTTGAGTGGTCGAGCTCAATGGGTCTCTCTGTAAATTTTATTACTGTCATGGTACATTCTTATAACTTTTAAAATTTGAGTAAATTTTGTGTTGTTTGTATGTACTGAGAACATGCTGTGATGCAGTATGTTGGGATGTGGTACCTAGTGCTTTTCTTTCTGGCTGACTGCTGTGTATGTTTTGTAGCATGTTTAAAGGACAGGCTGCGGTGTTACTTCCGATTGTGTTATACATTTGTAGTCTAAAATGTTGTTTTTTTTTTCTTTATTCACACATGGATGTTGCATGCTACTGACACTGATTGTCTGTTAATGAAAGTAATGGGTGGAATTGTGTACTGTCGATGGATTGATGCAATGCTTGTTTTGAATTGCAGGTACGCCGACCGAGCGAGGAAAATAAAGAACAAGCCAATCATTAATCAAGATCCGCAGGCTGCTGAAATCATGCGTCTACGAGCACTTGTTAGTTTATTGGTGGGCTGGTGTTTGGTTAGTCGGTCGGATTGTTGGCTGGTATCCTAACCATAGGTGTTTTCATAGACCTGTCCAAGGCATTTGATGTTATTAATCATGAGATATTAATAAAGAAATTATACTCCTATGGAATAAGAGGAATAGCACATACATGGTTCATAAGCTATCTGCAAAACAGAAATCAGTATGTGTCAATAAAAATTAAATCTTCAAATAAATTAAATATAACTTCAGGAGTCCCGCAAGGATCAATCTTAGGCCCACTTCTATTTATAATTTTTATGAATGATTTTCATCTGGCTACTGACACTCATCATCTTCTGTATGCAGATGATACTAACATTTTCTTCCCAACTAGCAATCCATCAAACGATGTAGAGATAATTAATAAAAGTTTAGATGATGTTTCAAATTGGTTCATCAATAATAAACTAATTGTAAATTTTTCTAAATGCAACTACATTCTGTTCGGTCCAAAAATATTGACTAACACAATACCTAATTTAGATATAAAAATGAATAACCATAGCATCCCACATACATCCAGCACAAAATTTCTCAGAGTGATAATCAAGGGCAACCTCTCGTGGGATATGCATATAGACTCGTTATCGAAAAAAATTAATAAAACCATAGGCGTAATTAATAAAATTAAAGTAAGATTGAATAAACCAATAATTATAGATTTGTATTATTTATTAATCTATCCACATCTAATATACTGCAACATCATCTGGGGAAGCAGCCCTGAAGTTCACTTGAAGCAAATTACCAGATGCCAAAATCGTTTCATCAAAATTCTGTTAAATCTACATCCATATAGTCATGTCAGCTGTTATTATCCTGAACTGAAAATTGTAAACATAAAAAATTTGTATAATTATCATGTTTCTATCTTTGTGTTCAAGTTCTTACATTATCAATTACCAACATCTTTTAATGACTTCTTCGAATTCGGAAATGCTGTGCAGTCAAAGTTCACTCGACATTCTCCTCTGCTCTATACACCACCTGCAGGAATAACACTGCTTGGTGAAAGTTTAAAACATACCGGTCCCGGAATCTGGGAGAAACTTCCTGTTGATATAAAGACTAAAAATTCCTTGCATTTGTTTAAAAACAAAATAAAGAAATCTTTATTGAAAAAAAGTACAATTTTTATTTAATTAGAATCATGTAAATTGTGCATTATGTTAATTTTGTCATGAATTATAAATTTACTTAAAAATCGTGTTAGAATGAACAATTTGTGAACGGTGGCCTGCGACAAAAGAATTTTGTTTTCTTTTAGCTTTGGTCTTCTAATCATTGCCTAATTATTATTAATTTGGATTGATTGAATAAAATTTGATTTGATTTGATATTGTATGACTGGCTGGTTGTTGTGTTGGTTAGTTGTGTTTGACCTGTTAATTCAATACGAATTGATGATAGAAATTCACTGCCCAGTTAATCTTCCCATCTTCTGTCCATTGAATTGATTGCTCCACGTCTTGCCTGAAGTTTAGATGCGCTGCTTTTTTATAATTCACTCACTTATCATTAGTTAACATGTGAAAAAATTCAAATCCCAACGTTTATTTACTTCTAGTGTAACAGTGATGGTGGATTGCTGATGATGAAGTTGATGATGCTACTTTCAAGTGTATCAATGGGTGTTTGTATGTACATACATTGCATACACTTGACTACATAAATCTACGTATATACATACACATATTTATATAAATATACATTTTTACAATATTCTATAAATTCTACCGAATGTTTGGCGTTAATATGTTTGTAGTTCGTTTACTACAAACATATTAACGCCAAACATTTGGTAGAATTTATAGAATATTGTAAAAATTATGGTCTATTATCAACATAAATATACATATATACATACATATGTTTCTATAAATAAACATAAGCATACACATGTTTACATAAATATGCATATACATGCGTATGCTCACATAATGAATACGTATACACATGCTTATACAAATATACATACATACATACATACACGAGCGAAGATCACTCAATAGATGTACTCACTGAATATGTAATGGAACAACCAGGTTCAAGAGTTGCAGTCGAATGGTGTGGCAGCCAACAAGCGGATATCCATCGGTGGTGTCGAGATGGAGACCGAGCAGTACAGGACTATCATTGAGAAGAATCGAAAACTTGAGGTGGTGGTGGTGGTGAACAGTGTGATCACGTGCGATGGTGGTGGGTGTTGTGATGCTGCTGGTAGTTATGGTGAAGGTTGTGGTGGGGATTGGGATGATGATTTTTCGTGGTGACGATAATGATGGTTATTATTGTTGAAACCTCTTAAGCAAGCGCAAAAGAGAGAGAGAGAATAACCTTTAACCTTTATTACAATGAAATAAATATAGGTAGTGAAAAGTAAAAAATTTTTATGATATGCTTTGTGTTAATGATAATGATGTTGTCTTGCAGATGATGCTAATTGGTTGGGTCTGACTAATCTTTTTGTTTATTTTGTGCCTAGTGAAAATGATGCACAATTTTTCGACAATGTTAACTTTCGCGGTGACTTTCATACAAGAGCCAACCTCCTTCAATCAGCAATCACTTCAATCAGTTTGTTCATCGTTCACTACAGGACGAGAACCGACACCTGGTGAACGAGTTGCAGATCGTGATAACTCAGAACACAGAGATGATGGACAAGGTGGTGCGCACTGAGGTGGCTCGCGACAAAATGAAGGAGCAGCTGGATGACCTCAAAGAACAGGCCCTGTATGTAAATGTGGTTTGTCAGTGATGCGTCGTCTTGCTGTATGCACCAAGATTGTTGTTGCGTTGTGATGCTCAAGTGTTACTGTTTAGTTGTTGTTATTGTTTGGATGTTGTTGTTTGGATGTTGTTGTTGTTGTTATTTGTATGTCGTCAAAAGGTTGTTGTTGTTGTTGCACCAAGTTGTAGCCAACTTGCAACCTCTGCAAGATTTTCACTAAGGTCTTATTGTACTGAGATGAGTAGGGTTGTTGGTGCAGCAGTAGAAGAGGTGTGGGCAGATCATCTGGTGAAGATGGCAAAAAGGGAGATGTTGTTGATGTTGATGTTTAATTTTGATTTATATGTATCCATTGATGAGGTAGCTATGGTCAGACTGAAGTTGTGCGAGTGTTCGTCTAACAGATTTTCGTAGCGTTTGTTCAGACTGATTTATTGTAGGTATGAGAAGAGGGCATTCATTGTGTAAAACTGCTACCTGATATGAATGAATGGAGTCTCTAGTTGCTATTGTGTGTAGTTGTAGAAATTGTTATGGATGGATTACTGATGTCTGAATGTGTTGTGATTTACTGGATGATGAATGAAGTGTTTCTTTCATTTTGGGACGACAGTAGGCCTGCATTGTGATTTGCTGACACTGGCTGTCCTGTTGTTACATGTGCGTGTTATTTTTGTTGCATCTGTTGTCTAAATGAAGATGTTATACTTATAAAAATGATGACAGATATTTCTCTTAGGAGGTCATTTTGAGGTCACCTTAGTAATGATTAAACAGAAACATCGAACAGTTTTAGCATGGTGCTGCTTCATTTGCTGTTCTGGTGTTCATTTTCTTGTTTAGTTGTTTGTTTTTGAATTGTTGTTTGGTTTAACAGGAAGGAGATGGAATGCTTGAAGGAGTGCCAGCTGAAGGAAGACACGAGTATGCAAACCTCGGCTCTCTCTCCAGAAGTCATCGACCAGCAACTCAGCATCATGATCAAGTTCAAGGACAAGTTGTGCCAGATCGAGGTTCTTTCATACGTTCAGTTCATTAGTTGTTAATTTGTTAACTTTTTTCTGAGGTTCTCTTTTTATGGAGACATTTTGGTGGATTTGTTCATTTTCATGCTGCTTTCTTTTATTAATTGTTCAGTTGAACGATCTCGTGATTGAGCAATTTGCTAAAGTTTCTGCTTAAGTATATTTTTGGTTAGAAATTATCGTCGTTCTTTTCGTTTTGTTACATTTGCGTCCATTAATGATGAGATGAACTGTGGTGGCAGACAGGAGATGTTGACGAGCGGAACAACATGAACGACGACGAGGACAACACGAAGCTGGACGACCTGGCCTCCCCGGGTGAAGCTGACGGTCAGCAGGCAGACGAGTTGAAGAGCAGGCACGTTCTCAGGCAGGCACAGCTGAACAGGGAGCTGCAGAACCTCAACAACATGCTGCATCGCAAGCAGGAGCTTGCCACGCAAATGCAGTCCAACGAGAAGCAGATGCAAGAAATGAAGGAACAGTACGAGGTTCGCTTGGATTTATCTGTTGGTCAGCTGCTTGTCGGTTGAAAAGTTTTGCATGATTTGTTGCTTTCATGTTTGTTAGTATGTGCCGCACGTACATGTTCAATTGCATAGCAGTGTTGATGATAATGTGATGATGAAAATATTTTCTGTCCAGCAACAAATGAAGGAGATGGAGACTGAAGTTGAAAAGTTGCAGAAGGAGAAAGAAGAAGCCGTTGTCATGATGCATTCATTGAAATCCAATGCGGCCAACAGCAAGTTCGTTTCACTTCAATTTCTTATCACATTCATCTTGCTTTATCCAAAAAAGTTAGCTATATTCAAATAATTGATGCTAGCCGACAACTTATTTCCTTAGCTCAATGCGTTGCACTAGTCACTTTTCAGCAAGCGAGTGAGGTTACCAGAGTACTCAATAGGTATGGCGTCCCCTGTTCTCCAAAGCGTTTCTGTTTTCGTCAGTCATAGAATTAAGATGTTTAGATGAATAATTTTTTTATTATATGAAAGCAATCACCCAGATCAGGCATGCCTCAGAGATCTCTTTACTAAACGAAATTACTTCCAGTAGAAATGATGTGGTGCACTAAATTTTGAGGCCTTGTTCTATAAAATGTGGCCATCAGTTGTGGTTTGATGGGAGGGTTGTATTGGAGAAATGTTTAATCTCTGAATGTAAAAAAGTTTTGTAACAACTGTATGTAAGCGTGATCTTGTCAAATAGCATCACAGAACAAATTTTAATGGCATTTTACAACGACGTATACCAGATCAGCAGCATACAAATTATGCAAATTATGTCCTGTCTTGAATGTCATACATCGCCACCCAACAGCAAACAACCATCAAGCAATTTATGAACTCCCTCTTCATTTTACTTCAACTTTTAGGTTAGCCGAACAGAGAAGGAAGAGAGTGCAAGAGTTGGAGAGCCAGATCCAGGAGCTGAAGAGGAAGATGTCTGAGCAGATGCGGATGCTCAAGATGAAAGAACAAAATGAAAAACAAGTCGAAAAACTGAACCAAGAGATAATTGTTAGTTTTTTTATGTTAGACGGGATTACGTAAACAATTTTGCAACATTTTGGCTTTCTTATTTTTCACAAATTTGATCACATTCTAGTAACTGACTTATTCAATAAGTCTGCTGTTCTTTTGTAAGATGACTTACATCTTTCTCATCTGTCCAGTAATGTAGCGTAGGAAAGTGAATCTGTGATTAACTCTTGAGCAACCGTTATTCATCTTAATATTTTGTTTTAAAAATGTAACATTAGTTTTTCCACTAATATGCGCATGCATTGTTTCCTAGATGAATGCCACGTGAGATGGTAGTTCTCTAGATCAAATGCGTAAACTGTTTTCTCGGAACATCGCTGCTTTATGTCATTGCCGCTCCTCAATTAGCTTATTTACTTAGTTTAATTAAATTCATCTTGCATTTTTGTCGAGATGTAATTCGCCAGACGAGAGATTATTGAATTTATGAAATGATTGCTCTTTAAACATCCTACCTAAATTAAACATTCCTACATTAAACGTCCTACCTCGGGGTAACTGGGTCTCTGGACGCTAAACGTTGATTGATTGATTGATTGATTGGTTGGTTGGTTGATTGATTGCTCTTTAAACAGTCCATGAAGCAGCAACGCGTGAAGCTGATGAATCAGCTGAAAGATGATGCCGAGCAGTTCAGGAAGATGAAAGCCGAGATGACAAAGGAGGTCTTACAACTTAAGTCCCAGGTGAGCTCTTTATTCCTCGTGTCGGTGCCTACTTCTTACAGTTATCACTTGCATGGGTTCAGTTGTTAAGTGTAAAGGATGTATAATATAATGTGCAGTGTTGGGGTCAGATATTTTTCATCTGACACCAACCAACCCAAGTTGAATGGTGCAAGCACATTACATGATGTTTTTTTTTGATTTTGTAATGTGCACCATCAGTTACTCAAATGCAGTGGACATGAACACTGTTTCTTGCACTTCTTGCTAGAATGCTAACAATTTCGAACCCATTCATTCCATCCTGTGATGGATGATGCATTATAGTGTCGCTCTTGTCTTTCAATGTTAGCAGTGATCATAAAAATTAACAAAAGTTAATTTTTAAACAAAATTGAGCAAGTTTCTTGATTGATTTTGTTGTTCAATTGAAAAAGATGTTTTATTGTGTGTGCTGTGATAAATGTTGCTTGAAATGCTATCATCCTCATTCATCCATCCGCATTCATTCATCCGCATTCATCCATCCGCATTCATCCACACTACGTTCTCATCATTTACGTGGTGAACAGGATCGCAAACGTCAAGCGGAGATGGCCAAGCTGGAACGTCAGCATGTGAACCAGCAGGTCGTGCTGAAGAGGAAGGCCGAGGAAGCAGCTGCAGCCAACAACAGACTGAAGGAGGTCCTCATGAGACAGAAGATGGTCATGGATGACCGCAACAAAAAACAAGAAGCTGCTGATCTCTCTGGCGCTGGTGCTAGAATTAAGGTTGGTTTGATGGTCTGCCGGTGGATTGATTGGTCAGTTGGTGGGCTGGTTAGGTAGAAAGAATGTTGGATAATCATTCAATTGACAGCTGTTACTTAATTATGTTCTCGGTTTATGTTCACATTCGTTATTTAAAAGCGAAAAGTTTACAATTTGCTTCTTCAAATGATTTCAACAAATTCTTTGATTATGAGGATATTATTTTGTTGATTGTTAATTTTTTGCCTGTTTCATGCCGTACATTTATTCCAATTCATTTAAAAAAGAAGCTGTTGTTTCAAACATTTCAGAAGCTGATTGGAGATGAGATGGACTTGATGGTGTCGGTGGAGGAGGCGAGGATCCATCTGAATCAGCAGATGTCCTCGAGGAAGGAGATGAACGAACAGGCAACATGTATCAGGAACAAGCTGAACATTCACGAAAACCAGGTCTTGTTTTGTCTGGCTAGAGTTGATCAATTGGTCGATCGATCGTTTGCTTGTTTGTTTTTCTGGCTTGTTTGGTTTCTCAGCTAATGTTTAGCTTTTACATGCTGAGTCATTTATTCTCTTAGTAATATATTTAGGTCATGTTCCCTCAATGTATTTGGTTTATTAACTCATCGGTTATTTTATATTTTTCTAATGCTATGGAAAGAGTTTTTCAAAATCATTTAAGCATGAATTGTTCTCAACTGGTTGACTGAGCAGGTGTCAGAATGCATGTCAGATGAGGAGAAGTCCTCGCTAGCGTTGCAGTTGAAGGAGCTCGAACAGCAGATTGAACTGTGCACTGTACAAATAGCCGACCTACAGCAGAAGCTCATTGATGCTGATCAAGGTAGGTGGTTTGTTGTAGATGAGGGATTTATTGCATGGCTGGACTGTCCGTACACTGTACTGTGAGAGTGCGTGCAGATGGGAGCAGTTTATAGATAGTTATTTTAGCTCCATCTTAACCAATTGAGTTCCTAATGCGTGCAAATTTTCTACTTAACAAATTATCTTCTTGATTATTATTTACTCACAGATGAAAAGTGCAAATCTCGCTGGGACAATATTCATACAATAGTGGAGTCAAAAATTGCCATCAAGTTCCTACTCAACATGGTCTCTAGTTGTTGTTTGTTGTTGCTGTTGCCGTTGTTGTTTGTTGCTTGTCGTTTTGTTGCTATTGTTTGTTGTCTTTGTTTCTGCTGTAGTGTTATTTAGTTTTCTGTAACTGTTGTTTTTTTTATGAATTTAATTTGATAAATTGGATTTGACTTTTTTTAATCCATTTTATTCACAAAAAAGTGAAAGAATCAGCCTAGCAATAAATGCTTATCTAGGGTTGACTTTCAATATAGGGTATATTTAAATTAATCATTCAGTTTGAATCTCACTAAATCGGTCGTTTTGCTTCGCAGGCAGTCAGTTTAAAAGTTGAGGGCAACAAGAAAAATGGTGAGATGGAGGATCTGAAAGCGATGTGCAAAGAGTTGACCCAAATGAATGAAAAGATGCAGGAAGGCACATTCAGGTTTAAGCTGAAGTACGAGCAAGACATGTGCGACCTCAGGAAGGAAAATGAAAGCAAGGTTAGTCTGCCTGGCTCTCTTGGTGGCTGGTTTTTAATTTCGTCTGCTTTTGTTTGAGGCGTCATAGGAAAACTCAAAACATATTTTATATTGCTTGTTGAATTTTTTTCGTATTTGTTTCTTTACAATAAACTTTCTTGCCATCTCTAATCACCAAAACAGGTCTTGTACCTACTCTCTCAGATGAAAAACAATAAAAATTTTGGATCCAGGAGTGAGGTGAAGGAATCTGAACGAATTGAGGAACTCAAGAAGAGGATCGAATTTCAAGTTGGTCGTGTGCTGATGATTTGATTATCTGAATGTTGTCTAATAAATGATGTGCTCTGTGGTGTTTTTCATACTCTGGATCATGTCGAGTTGTCTATATTAATGTCCTACAGGAGAAGGAGATAGAAAAATTTCGGGCTATGGAGGAAGAGCTCAACAACAAAACCGAAGTAATCAACAATCTCCGAAGAGTAAGTTGTTGCTTTAAATTTTTTTGCTGTGGTCGTTGTAGTGGTAAATGCGGCCGCTCTTGTGGTTGATGCTGTTGTGGTTGTGGGTAATAAGTCAATCCATCATATCTGGATCACCTATGGTGTCTTGTTATACAAATGTTGCAAGGAGTATAGAATTTTTGGAGATAATTTCATTTGATGCCTCCTATCTTTTAGCTAATGTGTTACATTAATTGATAACAAAAATTTTGTTTTTCTTTTTTGAAATGAGTTTTGAGAAATTCCAAATGCTGATGACAAAATGTCAAATGATGGAGTGATGATGACGATGTAATGATGATGAAATGACAACTATACTCGATGGTTGCCCTTGAAAAACAACTACAAACGTTTTAAATTCTACTGACTGGCCAGGAAATGACGAAGAAGCAGTACAACTTGACGATGATGAGAGGGGAAGGAACATTGCTGCCCACCAACATTGAAGCTGACATTAAGACTGAGTTCTTCAATCCTCCAACGCTCACTGACAGAGTTAGTTTTTTTAAGTGGTCTATCAATAATTTTATTTTTTAGCATTCATTCGTCTCGTTTTAAATACTTTGTATTGGGTTGTTGCCTGTTTTTATTCTGCTCATATTTGCTGTTTGCAATTTTTTAAATTTAATTTCAACCTTATTGCTTGTTCGAACTATTAACTAATAACTTGCATTTACAATGTGGGTCCTAAACGTTCTGGAGGCGACCAGGCACAGAGCCCTCTAGGAATTTCTAAATTTTTTTTTTATTTTCCTTCATAAAGATTCGAAAGAGGCCGACAAAAAGAAGAAGCAACTCCAGCGAGGAGGAAGATAATGAGGTGACATCTGATGAGTTTGAGGACGAGGATGACGTCACGAAGGACCCTTCCTATCGGTCCGGCCTCACGCCTGCCCCTGCAAGACAAAGAAGCAGGGTCAGTAAACATTCCCGTTCTTTCCAATGCTTGATATTACGTGATTGCTGGCTGACTGGTAATGACCCAGTAATCAACATTCACCAAACTATTAAATACCATTTACAGTAATTTAATTTGTAGCATCATTGAATCAGGTGTTGATTTCATTTTAACTTTCAACAGCAAGCCAGCAAAGCTCCTCAAGCCGTTGATTCATCGTCATCTTCGTCGTCACTATTCAATCGAACATTCATCACCAGTGACAATGGCGTCGCTCCCACCGCGCTGCCTCCGAAGAAAAAGGTCGGCGAAAGAAGAAAAAAGACAGGTAGCAGCAAAAATGAGAACAACAAGCCACTTGACTCCACTGGCGGTTCAAACCCTCCGATAGATTTATCTGAAGTTGGTGTCAACAGTTTCGGTAAGAAGAGGAAACTGCAACCTTTAAAGTCTGCTACATACTTCACTGATCAAATTTAAGCATCGCTGTTGTTGTAAATACAATCGCACGTGACTTGTACAAAGCTTCCAAATTAAATTCACCACCGAATTGTTTTTCTATTATTTTCTTCAGTAATTGAAATTTTCCATAGTTTATAAAATCTCCATATTAGTTTCTTCACCGTCATCCACACTTCATAAATGTAAATTCGATTTACTTTAGACTAGCTGGCTATTTAAATTTTTCATTGATTTTATCTTACAATTGTTTCTCCTTTTTTTATATCTACTCGGAGTTTGAATGCATGTGATGTGCTAATTACATATGCCTTAGTTTATTTGTTCAGGTTTACGTGCGTGTCTGTTCACATATCGAATAAACATGAAATAAATAATTAATCAAAGACATGAAATGGATGTTTCTTTCTCGCGACCAAAGTGTTCTCCCTATGTGAAAAATGTCTTCATCATGATTAATTTAGGAAAATAGTTTAAAAATCTTTCTGTCGATAGTTTGATCATTCATCCATTTTAATTTTTCTATTATGTCAAAGTGAATTACACGTTATACGTTTTACACATTTTTTAAGTTTTAACGGCGGGTGAGTGTTTGGTAAAGCTTTGTCCTAAAAGTGTGAAACTCATTTAAGGTAACATACATTTATATTCATCTCTGTGTATATGTCATGATGTTTTTCCATAATGTATATATTGTAGATATGGAAACATTATGTTATATAAATACATATATGTATGAATTTATATAAATACACATAATATATACATATATATTATATATATATATTGCTATATATATTGCAATTGGTAACTATGAGAGCTTTTTGAACCCAAAAGTTTTAATTTCAAAATTTTACTAGCTTGAAATTAATTCTTTTAATATTCTTAATTTGTTCTATTTATCTAATGAGAAATAAATTATAATTACTGAATGTTCATCGTAATTTTTTACACAAATATAACCGAGCAAGAACGTAAGCCGCGATTATTTCATCTGAGTTAAGAGGCAAAAACCTGACAACCAAACAAATACAACTATATATTTTTAGTTCCGACATTGTACACAGTGCAACCGCTAACGAGCATGCGAATCATTTTTTCAGTATTTTCGAGGACAGCCAGATACACAGACACCGTTAGGCGGATTGTTACATTGAATATAAATACGTAAGTTTGGAATTGCCAATTGGAGTCACCGGTAACTTCTGTGCATTTCTTTCACCAGATTTCTTTGTTAGTGTACTTAACCGTTGTTTCGTTCCCCCCCAAAAGTGTTTTACTCTTGATAAGAATACCAAACTTGATGCAGAGCTTATAACAGTTTTGTTTGCAGTGCTATGAACACCAGCCAGTTTGTTCAGTTAGTGGGACTATTTATTGAGTTAATGGGTTTATCCGTGGGGTCAATTGCAATTTGACACAAGAATTTAAGTTTGTCACATTTGTGGGCGATTAGAAAAATATAATTTGTGCAGCTTTTGGGTATAAAAAGATATGAGAAAAGGTAGGCAAGGGCACATATAACTTACTCTTGATTGAAAATGGGTATTTTCATTGTTCACATTTTTATGGAATATCGTATGTAGCACGGGAATAAGGTGTTGGAGAAGTATTTTAAAAATAGAGGATCCAGATATCGAAAGTAATCTGTGGAAGACGGCTGCAGAAATACAGATTCGCCAACAACTTGTTAACTTTCTCTTAATTTTCAAAGGTATTAAACAATACAGAGCAGATGTATGCACGCGTGAAGTCATACATTACACGCGTTGCACGAGATGGGCGGACTCGATCAGACCAGGTGCCTTAACCATTACACCATCTTGCCACCACGTATGTTATCAACTTAAAAATTGTATGACCAAGCAACGATGGGACAAGTCACATAAATTTAGGAAATCAGTTTTTGAATATTATCGTGTGCATGCGTTGTAACGTAACGTTGGCGGAATTTCTAAGTAAAGATGCCAAATCTTCTGCTTTCATCCCATCTTTAAAAAAAATTAGAGGATCTTAATGTATGAACATGTCTATTAAATTAAGTCGCTTGCATGGCGCTTTTATATAAATGATACTACTATTATTATTACTAACAAATTCTGGCCACGAAGGGTTTGTAAAAAAATTATTTAATACAGTAAAAATATCAACATTCAGCTTTAATTTGCACGTCAACATTATGCTAACTTTATCAAAAAACAAACTGTCAATGAAGAAAAAAACCATAGCTATTGCAATTTATTATTGAATGTTCAGACCATTAAAAATTTTACAAAGCTCTTCAACAATTCCAATGAAAAAATTAAAAGGAAGAAATATACACAATGAAGAAAAAGATAATAATTTATTCATAATATTTAACATATATACATTGACCTCATTTGCTTTAGAACATCTAAAATATCAGGAAAATGATTCAACACAAACTGAATAATTTTTTCCAAAATTGTTATCCCAATAAGTGTCAACATCAGACAGACAAGCAATAGCAAACTCTAATAAAATATGCTTGCTCTCCTGAGAGGGTTCAGTATCATCAGACTCAAACTTCACCATTTCATCTGTGGTAGGGTTTGTTTGAGAAGTTGTGAAGTTATCTTGCGAGAGAACTATAGAGAAAACAAATCTACGATAGCCAAGGACGTTTATGGCCATATCTTCAGACTCCTCCATAGCTGCACACTCATAATCTTGCCATGACTTCCACCTGTCAAATGTCATTCGAACAAAAACTTTATTAATGTTGGTAAATAAAGAAATTGCTATGATGCCAGAAATTGTCCACTTATCTTCACAATCCACACAACTTTCCAATTTTACATTGTTGTCTGAGATCATATCTTTGAACCTGAAATTGATTCCTGGTTGCTCGAAGAGTAATGTCATTTTACATCTGTTAGCATTGTTAGAACTTCCTGCTTCGCAAGATAATCTGTGTTTTTTTATTTTTGCATTTGGCAAATATCGTAAAACAGTTCGAGGGATTTTTGGTGGTTCATCAGCATTCTGCATTTCTCTAACATCGGCCAATGTGACACCACATGTGTCGGCAAATACAACATGCTTGTTTTGCTCATCTTCATCTACTTTATTTTCAAGTTTTCTTTTTATTTTCAAGGAAGATTTTCTAGTAACGTTAACTTCAGTCTGGGGCTCATTGGATTCCAAATCACTTTCACATTCTTCAATATCAAAATCATTTTCAGTGAATATCAGTGATGGAACTTCTGGCATTTTTTCACTTACTGATAGGAAGTTGGTATTAGATATTGTTTCATCAATCTCCTCATCCAAATCAACTGACCCATGACCTAAAACCTCTTTCAGGTTCACTATCTTGTTTGAGCTTAGCTTTCCATCTTTGTCCACGCATCTGCTTTCTATTTCCAGCATTCGTTTACGAAAATCGGTCGTTTTGTTTTCCATGGTTGGTCACAATAAGAATTAAAATTTAAAACACACTTTGTTTCTCAATTCCATATAAATTCATTTTACATACTAGTAACTCTTGTTGCACCTTAAAAAATTATAAAAATAATTTAAAATTAAATTAGTGAAAATCTTCATCAATGTTGTTAAAATTTAAAAAAATGTATTGTATGAGTAATACAGTTTTATATTTTAAATATTTTAGATGCAAGAAGAATTTAGAGCAGATGAATTGAGCATGGCAAAGAAAACAACGTCCTACCTCGGGAAACCGGGTCTCTGGACGCAAAACGAAGATTGATTGATTGATTGATTGATTGATTGATGGCAACGTTGATGGGTCCTAAGGACGAATAGAGGGCATGAAAATGAAATGACATCAAGAGCAAATTAAAAAACTGAACACTTTTTGCAATAAATTACACGTACCCTTTGCCAGATTGTGTACAAGTTTCGAATTAAAATAAAAAAACATAGGCAAAAGCTTGAAAGTTTTTACGAGTAGCTCAAACTTAAACTATACTTATGTCACAACAGTCTCTTAAGTAAAGGTTTTCAATGGTACCATTGAAAAGGTACCATTTCAGTGGTACCTTGCTGTTTTTTCTATTTATATTATTTTTTATCTTAAATATTTACAATTTTTAACAATGTACAATTATTTTGTAAATGTTTGTGCGTGTGTTCGTGCGCGTATCAAGTGTGTGTGTGTTTGTGTGTGTGTTTGTGTGTGTGTCGTGCCTGTGCGGGCGTAGAAACAAGTTAGTCACGACATGTTTTTTTAAAATATACAGTTCAGTGATTAATAAAAAATAAAAAAAAGTACAAAAATTGCCATTGTATAATTTAGTATAGAAATTTATCTATATTAGGCTATATAAACTTGAACATTGACCTGGATGGTTTTGCGTTATGTACATTCTAGACAGATCACGAGTAGACCATACGACCCAACAGACAAACACTGCATTAAATTTCTTTAATTTTTCATCCATGCTTCAATTGTTGCATAAGATTAAAATATATATAAAAGAAAGATCGTAGCCATTATAACAATCTCCAAGTGAGTTCACTTCGGCTTGGAGGTCGTTCATATAGAACTTAAAACAGGAATTACCTTATCGTATTTTCAGTAAAAAAAATTTACTTGGAAGCAAAAGCTCAGCACACCGACACCACATACTTTTCACATTTTATACAAGGAGTAGTAGTCGGTGACGGCGAGTAAGCTGTCACTAAAAGTGCCATGTCTTCTGCTGTTCTCCCACGTTGGCCTGGTTCGAATACTCTACGTTAGAATTAAAAACTGTATATGGTACTAGCTAAGTATATGGTTGTAGGCAAATATGAATAATGACGCAAATGCTTCCCGGTCGATATTAACAATTAATAATTTGATCCCTATACTGAAATTTCATAGAAATGGGTTTAAAACAAAAAAAACAATGTTTATCAAAAGTATTTTAGTCAATAAGATTCATAATCTTGTTCGTGCGTACAATGAAACGCTGTTTGTTTGTTTGTTTGAACGTTAGAATAAACGGCATGCAATATCAATTATAATAAAAAAAGTTGTACTTTTCAATTGAACTTTTAATTTGAAGTTGAGCTTGGGTCTTGGATTAAAGATAAACAACTAAATTGTTTAGATACTTGAAGAAGCGCTGATCGGTAATAAGACACAAAATTAAATCTTCACTTCACTTGAAGGCTAAAAAATTTTTCTCCCATTGTTCATATTCTGTGCATTCAAAAGCATCTGCAAAAATATTTTCTAGCCTGGTATATCTGTTGTCCGTGTGATGTTGGAAGGATGACGCGCCGTAAAGTGAATGCAATTTTATTACAGAGTAGTTGGAGTAATTCGTCAACCAAGTTTCGACTTCTTCAAGTGAAGCTCCCTTTTCTGCATTCTTCGGGTTTAAAAAGTGTTCTGAGGAAATTCCAAATTTTTTCCTGTAGGTAGAATGGTTGATGAGCAATTCAGGACTGACGGATGATTTCACGGCGTCTGGAACCAGAGGATGATCCAAAAATGAATGTTCTCGATATTTTAATTTGAAGTATTGATCGAATTTAGAAATTCGTAGCATGGACAAGAGTGAGCATCTATATTTCGGATGACTGCATTTGTTGTCCGGATGGCAATTGCAACAATGAAATGGCGGCAAAATCAATATTCTATTCAAAACAGACGCGATCGCAAGAGCACTTTTAAGACTAGAAATTTCAATGTCCATTGTTCGAATTTTTTCAAAATGTACTGGATTATCGTATGTGATGTACTTGGCATTAGGATCGGAGTAATATCCTTTTGAATCAATAATCCAGAAATGGTTTTCCTTTAATCTGTAAAGTTTGGCGGCGACACTGCCTAAATAGTTGTTGTGCATGATGGCACATTCCACGCATGGAGGTTCGTTCTTGAACGGCCTGTGAACTTCTTCAAAATAATACAAACCACATGGGAATTCTCTCCTGGAAAGAACTTTCAGAGCGTCAAAAACATTTTCCTTTTCTGCTAACTGATGAATTGCCATGTTAAGGTAGGATTGATCGTGTGATTTTTGATATTTGACGAACAAATTCCATGATTTTTCATAAATATATTTACTTGTTTTGGTTGGTTTGGCGTAAACAAAACCACTGTTGTACATTTGTCTGTCTTTCTGAATGTGGATGCTGCAATTGCTACACGTGAAAAATGTAAAAGGGTTTTTGAACATAATAACGTCAACGTCACACATTAAAACAGAGTAGCCTAAACTCAAAGCCTGAACCATCACAGCAGTTTTTAGGTTCGTTTTGTAAATGTAACCAAGTTTACCAAAGTCGCTGGACATAAAATCATTTTTCAAGATGAAAGACAATGAATGCATCGAAGCAGGAATGTCCAATTTTGTTAATGTTTCATATGATTGCTTGTCCAAACAAACGAACAAAAAGTTTTGAATTTTGTTTCTGACAATTGAGAGGTAATAAAAATTTAATGCGAAACTGACGTAGTCTGCATCTGTTACTGAAAGTATGATGTCTCCAACTGGACTGCTGTGTTTCTTCAAGCCATCGACAAGTGTGGCAGATGGTTTGCTTTTTATCTGACGTGCATTCTCTTTAGAATTTATTAATTTTAGAAGTTTTTTAGGAGCTCTAGTGCTTTGGTAAAAATTTAATTTTTGTCTCATTTGTTCAATTTCTTCAGCAGTTTGTGGGTCATCAATATTAACTTCTTTCACTTCAGTGTTGATCATCAGCACAATGAAAGGTTGTTTGTGCCTCTTGTTCAACAAGTAGTTTGTAGACAAGAAACAAAACACAACTAATATCAACAGCATCAATATGTACGTCTTTTCTGAAAAGTTACAAATTTAAATTTATTTATCTTATACTGAATAACATCCATTTTTACAATGTTAGTAAGTTATTTGAATTCTTAACAATAAACACATAGAGCTAATAGTATTACAGCCAAAAAAGTAAAATTTTGAGAGAACATCAAACCAAATAATGACACCACTAACAAAATTCAAATAAAAACAATAGCACACACACACACACACACATACACACACACACACATACACATACACACATATTTATAATTAGCGTGATTTTTATAAATTTGAAATAGTAAAACATAAATGAATAAAATTTAATTTTGTTAAAACAAAGAATGTTTGAATACTATTAACAATGATTGACTGAATAACGATATTAACAATGAATGAAAAAATAAAAATAAATTGAAGTACTTTTATAAAATCTTAATCTTACTTGATTTGGAAATGGAACAACATGTGGTTACTTGTCTGGGTTTCATCATTCAACATTTATTGTATTATTAATTAATTCACTTTTTAGTGTTTAGTTAATTTTTATTTCATCTATCTATATTCTATAATTATAATTTATTTAAAATTTAGTGGTTATGTTATTAATATTAAACTTAATAAAATTGAATTTATTTTAATTAATTATTTATTATTAAAATTTACGAATAATAATAATTTAAAACTTAAAAAAAAATAACAAAATTTAGTAATAATAAATAAAATTTATTTATTTATTTAATTAATAAATAAATGTAAAAACTGAAGAGACAAGTTGGAAAACCGGACTTAAAGTCCTAATTTAATATAATGCGTAACGAACAACATAAAAAACAATTTGTTTTACCTAACCAAACTTATTTAACTTTATTTAGTGGAAAAGTACATTATGATTCTGCACATAGAAACTGAGCAATCGTGGTACATTAATTAAATATGCATGCTCTGCAAGTTATTTTTTAAACAGTAATCCAGGTGAAAGAAAGCAATGTGTTTAAAAGTGCGGAATAGTATTAACCAGCATGCTAATTGCAATGTACACCTGTACTGTGTATATACCTTTCTCACAGATGGCGTATCTTTATTTTATTCATCAAATCATGAAAATAAGACAAATTCAAATTAACATAGAAACCAGAAGAAGAAAAATTGAAATTTAATTACCATCAAAAAGAAAAATTGTTGTTTTTTAGTCGGATGTTTGTTCCCAATAATGTGCCGTGAATTCACCAGCAAAACGTAATATATCTGATGATGTATTTATCACAAATGTCTTCAAATGTCCTAGTATCAAATCTTGTATTATTTTAGAAAAGTTCGATTGTTAAGAGGACCTGATAAGAATTCATCACCGGCGGTTGACTGGCAGGTGAAGTTCGGAGTCAACAAATGCCTTATCAGGCATATAGGAACCAAAAACAAAAAAAAAATATTAAGGTTTGGAGGAAGACACCTGAAAATCGCATCAGAAGAAGGGACCTTGGAGTAATTGTACACAGTAATTGGATATCCCTCTTAACAATGCACAGAAGCGGCAAAAAAGGCAAGTAATATGTTTGGTATTATAAAAAGAACGGTAGCCAACAGGAACAGAGACAAATCAATAATGCTAAACTTCTACAAGATTTTGGTACGACCTTAACTAGATTAGAGTACTGTGTACAAACAAGGAGTGCTCATTAGGAACAAGACTAAAAAAAGATAGAAATGTTTCAGAAACGACCACCCGACAGTAAGAATATTTCACTTTTTTTAATTACAGTGGTACTCCCAATTAGCGACTTTGAAAATGTCATAGAAATCAGGTCTTAAAAGAGAGAGGTCTTGAAAAAAGAGTACACAAAATGTATACATTATTTTGTATTATGTAAATGTACACTGCATTGTATTATATTCAAACAATATATAGTTTGGAAAAGTTAGCACAGGTTGAGTCTTTGTCATCTACTGCAGCAAACTCTTCTAATGTCATGCCGTTGAGGAACTTGACTTCATTTGCAGGGTTCTCTTTTTCCATTTCAAGTTGTGTTACATAATCTGAAAGTTATTGTTTACATATTCAATATTTTTTGCTTAGGAAATTGAATGGGGTTTAAAAAATAATAAACACGTTACCCAATTAAATTTAAAAACAATAGCTGAAACAAGAATGAAAAGCCAGAAAATGATCACTTTCAATGGCCTTTCAATTGTTGGCATCTTAAATCCACACTTCAAGAAACATTTGAAAAAATTTTACGTATTATTAATAATTTTTTTGTGTTTTTAAGGTCGTTGGTCGAGTTTTGAAGCAAGTTTAGGGAGTGAGGCTTAAAAAACAATCCGGTCGGGAATGAGAGAGAGTCGAAAATGAAGAGGTCGTTAGGGGGAGTATCACTGTAAAATACATTTATGGACAATCTTCACTGTTTTAATAACTAATTGTTTATAAGTTTATTTCGAATTAGACGTTATGCAATTAATAAATGAAATTATAAATAAAAAAATGGGGTTATATATTTTTGTGTAAAGTTTCCAACTTTGTTTAGATATTTATATTCATAGGCAACACTTCACATGTACTTCCGTGTGTGTGTGTGTGTGTGCGTGTGTGTGTGTGTGCGTGTGTGTGTGCGTGTGTGTGTGTGCGTGTATGTGTGTGTGCGTGTCAGGAAGTTTGGAAATAATTCGCCCTAGTGCATTGTTACATTGTCAAGCTGTTATTAAATTTTGAGAATGTGAAAACGCATTTGAATACAAACTCACACTATAAATTAGACATATTAAATAAGAACACCACATTTAACTCTAAACAACTAAGAATATTTTTGAAACTTTCATTCGTTTTGTTACCATGCTTAAATCAGAATCGCAGGCAGTTATCTTACGGCTATTATTACAAGCACTTTTTCTCTACACTACGACCAACACCGTAACAGTCACTAATCTCCTGCTGAATTTTCAAAATGTTTCATTTTCAGTTGACGGCGTGGATTATCAATCGTTACCACCACAGATTAGTAGCGATTCAACAGCCAACATGTTTGACAACAACCCTGAGACACATTTTGAAGTGGCAGCCGGCAGAATTTCGCATTCGATGACGATCAACATCTTCCTTCCTTCCGCGATGGTTTGATGTTACTTCATTCTTATTTATGGTTTTGTGTTTATTTAAAAATATTTAATTTAATTTTTGAGTAATGTTAGAAATATTTGTAAACAAAAAAATATACATTTGCACAGAGAAAATGATATAAATGTGAATGCAGATCCAAAAGATAAGCATACAAACAGAAAGTGTTGCAAGCTCGAGTTACACGGTATCCCTACAAAACGATGAACGCACCTGGCTGCACCGGGTGGGGACTGATTGCAGGGAATCTTACCTCAGACTGGTCAACAATGTGTACTACCAGTGCCTGAGGTGGGAATTGAAAAATACGAGTTGGCTTGTTTGTCGTCTTTATGTGCACTTTAAACGAATTGTAACATCTGCCATCTGAGACTTTTTCATGTTTTTATTAAAAAATACTTTAAATATTTTTTTTTAATGTTTTTTGTCAATTTGAATTAATCAATAACTTTATATATTTTTTATCTGTCGTTAAATTTAAGTATATGATGTTTATGTTAATGTATGTTTTTATACAAGCAGTTTGAATCTTAACTTGCCTAACTTAGCTAATAACTAATCATTCAAGTCTATATGCATTATTACCAAATTTATGTTTTATTATTATTTTAAAAGTTATGGGAGCAACGTAATAGTTGACCTTGAAGATTTTTATGTGGCGGGCAACAACAATGTGACCTGGTGGACGGTTTTTAACAAGCTGGCAATCACCTTCAACATTACGATAAACTCCACTGCTTCAATCGTCATCAAGGATATATCGGCATTAGGAAGGTTATTGAACAGATGTGTTAAAAGACTTGGGAGACTTTAAAAAATGTGTTGTATGTTTAAGGAAATAAATAGATTTTGAAAATAAATTTCATTTTTTTTTCAAATTCAACCAAAGTATTTCAATATTCTTAATTCTAACTACTCCGAAATACCAAATGAATTTTAAATGATCGTCATAAAACATTGAACTTGAGCATACGATTATTTTGATTATTTGGCAACCGACTGACAAAACAGATTCACAGCAGTCGGCAACGTCTGCAATTGTTTCCTTCCTGGCGTTATCAACGCAAACTCCCCGTGTGATCAGCAGGACAGGTGTTTGTGCAGGGACGATGTTGGCTCCAGAGATTGTGTTACTATTTCAACTTCAATTTATATAAATTTATTAACAGAATTTATTTTGTTGAAATTGTTATTTGAATTGATCACTAACCAAATAAAGTATTTTCCAAGTTTTTTTGTAGTTCTGCACATTGTGTTCAAATTAAACAACCAAGCAACTCAGCCCTAACCTACAATCAAAATATTGATTTAACATTATTTCAGTCCACGTGCAAATCTCCCAACTCCCCCTACATATACCCCACCTACGGACCCATCGGAGGATGGCAACATGTCAGTCTCTTCCAAGGATCGTGTTGGAACTTTTCAGCGGCCAGCAAAGTTTACATAGGAGAAGAATCATGTGATTTAGCCCCCAAATGTATCACAAAGGCTCAGATTTGTACTCGCTTTAGAAATATGTACGATGTTATCCAGTTTAGTTTTAGATAACTAATAAATTTTAATCATTTAGTATGACAAAGATTTTACCAACGATGAAAATTTTTTTGAATTTAAGAGGTGTTTGACATTTCAGATATCCTAATGGGACTTACATAGACGATGCCTCCAGCAAATGTTGCACTGGTAGTTACAACGAATCATCCGTTGGATTGAACCTCCCTGTGAAAGTCTGCTGGGAGAGTTTCTGCGTGGCTTTGGACAACATAGCCTATCTCTTGAAAGCTAACCCCGTAGTTAATGTAATGAAACGTAAATCGATCATGATAAGGTAATTGAAAAAGTAAAAACTGCTTTCTTAATTGCTTCTAATTGCTATTTTTTAACATCATTTCAACAAAGAGGTTTCTTCAGCAGTTTGCACAATAATTGATTTCTAACAACAAATTTCAAATTATGTTCAAAAACTTTGAAATGCGAGATGGTGTAATAGTTAATGCACCTGGTCTTGTTGTTGGAGTGACTGCACACGCACGCAAAGATATGCCCACCTTACACGCAATGAATGTAGCGTTGTGTGCGTTGCCGATACCTCTGGCAATTAATTAGAAAAATATTAATAAGAAAATAACTTTATTTTTTTACAGTGGGGGTATCAAAGTGGTATTTGAAGGACAAAATCTCAACTTTGCACCTAATCCAACTTTGCTGACTCAAGCATTCTCTGGATCTAGTTACATATTTGAATCATCTGTTAATCTAACTGACATTACTAAACGGGTGCGAAACACTTCGTTCAATTTTTTGTTCAAGCTTTCATTATTAGCGTAGAGCTTGATTTGCATTTAATTTTAAAATTTTATTCAAACGTTCGCTAAAAATATTTCCAGGTTTGCACTGTGAACTCAGAAGAAAAGCTAATGACCTGTTACACCGTTAATTTGAATGACCGTTCAATAAGTAGAGACTATGCTACCTACATTTTTGCTTTTTCGATTTATTCAAAATTTTCATGTGATGAAAATATATATCTAATCAACGAGCCTGGATTCATAAAATTCACTCTTTGTCCGGATCCGAACATCAGCATTTTGTATCCTTACATCCGGGAGCTACCGAGAGACACTGACAATCCGACGGTTATGATCAGCGTACGTTTTAATTTCTTTTATTTTAAATATCAGAACAAACATAAGTCTTGCAATAATTTCAAACATGAGAGTTGATTTTCATACATTTGAAAGGGGAACGGGCTAACGGGTTGCACTAAAGATGAATTTGGTTTAGAACTCGCTGATTACCAAGTGATGGTCCAAAACGTTAATGCCGAAGTGGTTGACTTGAAAAGCAATTCCATATTATTTAGACCTCCTTCTACGAAGCCAGCCGGTTGTTATTTGAATGAAGCTTGTGAAATTAAAGTAATTAAATTTTGTTACCACTCTATTGAAGATTTTTATTTTATGAAAAATGTAATATCATAAAAATTGTATTTTTAATCACCAAACAATTGTACTTATACCAATTGTTCAATCTAAACTGATTTTGCCACCAAAACAATTTGGATAAGTATGTAATGTTTTTTTTACTTTTTGAATAATGGCTCCACCGATTTCACGTAGCGCCTGATTCTTAAATGTACAGCTTATTTTTTGATTGTATTATTATATTTATCATGCTAGGATGGTTAAACAAAGTATGATGGTTCAATGTATAACATATTCTAACATGCTCAACTGCTCAGGTGCTGGTGGGCTCTTTGAAGCTGGTGGTCGGATTCATCCAGTACGATCGCAACTGGACACCGATTATTCTGGCTGCTGTTCTTGGCTCCGTCGGGGGAATTCTGCTTATCGTGCTTGTTGTTTCAATTGTTTGTTGTGCTAAGAGGAAGAAGTTATGCTTTAAAGGTGATATTTTACTTCAAAATGTGACATCACACCACACCATGCCAGTGCAAAAAACTAATTTTCATTTCGAATTAAAGAATGTTTTAAAATCGTTTTTTAAAATATTGTTTGTAGAAAAAGTAATACCCAAGGAAGTACACGAAGTGCGTGCGCGCAGCTTACTGGACGACATAGATGAGCCGCTGCGATTGAAGGTGCAGAGATGTCTGGTCGACGCGGCACATGTCATCAAACAGCAGGAAATTGGAAAAGGCAAATTTTTGTAAATTATGTCGAAAGATTTTGAATAAATATTTTTATGTGTTTATTGAAGATGGATTAACATGAATATTCAAATTTGTAGGCTTTTTTGGAAAAGTTTATTTCGGACAATACAATGAGAAACCAGTGGCTATAAAGACAATACACGGGGGTAAGTGCCAGACGTTATCAAAATTTTTGCTATTTTAAGATATTCAACGTATCAGTACTTTGGAAAAATTATCAAAAATTATTTCGTTCTATATAAGTTTGGTTAACGTTTAATTCGCCAATTTCGTTCTGGTTGGAGCATCATTCTGTAGACTGGCTCGTTAAATGTCACAAAAATCATTTCAAACAAAAATGTTAAACACGACAGAAGCGCGATTTAACATGATGAAGAAGACAAACTTCCTAGAAGAAGCAGTGATGATGGTGGATTTCAGTCATCCAAATGTCCTCACACTGCTTGCCATCACCATTGAAGACAACATTCCTAACGTCATCCTGCCTTTTATGGAGAATGGGGATTTGAGATCTTACGTGCTTGATGAAAAAAATGTAATTGTTCGTTTGGCTTGCATTTGCTGATTACTATTAAAAAATAACTTAGCCACTTTTTTCGTAACTTAAATAGGTTTTATAATTTTAAATGTTTGGAATAATTATATTTTCATTGTTAATGATATTAATTCGTTTGCAGAAATTTGTTCTAGGCGAACTTTTGAACTTTTGTCTTCAAGTCGCATCAGGAATGGAGTATCTGGCTCTTAAAAAATTTGTTCACAGGGATTTAGCTGCAAGAAACTGCATGTCAGTAATGATAAAAATTTTAAACATTAACGTGTAGTTAATTTATTGATATCATCATTGAGCGTTGCAAAATTTTAACATTATTTTTTATTTATAGAGAAAACGTTAAACTTGTTTGCAGGGTTGACAGCAGCCTAACAGTGAAAGTCGCTGATTTTGGACTGGCCAGAGACCTGTACGAGACAAACTACTATATCGCGGAGAACAGATCCATTCCTCTGCCCTACAAATGGATGCCCATTGAATGCCTAAGCGGAAAGCTTCAATTCTCGGAAAAAACTGACGTGGTCTGTTTTGAGATTTTATACAAATAAGTAAATGATTCTTTTTAAAAAACATGACAATTTATGATTAATAAAACTGCAAATATTTGTGCAAGCAATATTTTATAACTTCACCATCATGCAGAAGATTTTTTCTGATTATTAATTTCGCTGTCATCATACCATTAAATTTTAATAAACCTTAAATAAAAGTAGTTTGCGTTAAATGTTTATTTGACATTTATGAAAACGTCAACTGAATGACCGTTGAAGTGGTCGTATGGAGTCCTGATGTGGGAGGTTTTCACGCGAGGAGGCAGTCCATACTTTGATCTGCAGCATCGAGAACTCAAACATTTTCTAAAGAGAGGCGAAAGACTTGAGAAACCAGAGATTGTTCCTGATTATTTGTTGGTTTTATCAATTTTATTTTATTCTAAACCAGTGTAGTCTATTTTGAAACTGAGCTCTAATAGTATTATAAAATGTAACAATTGAATAGAACCAGGGGTGCACCGTATCGTGTAAAACTTTTCGATATCCGGCCAAATTCGGATAGGGTTGGATAGTTAAAAAAAGATATCTGGCCGGAACCAGAGCCGAATATTGTCGCTAGATGTTTTTTAAAAATTTTAATTACTGAACTGCTTGCTCACAAAACTTCTAAATAAGCTGTCTATGTTAATATTGTGCTTATTTTACTTCTTCAACCACGTGGAAACATGCCATGTATATCCAGCGCATAGAGATTTATTAAGTAAATTTAAAAAAATAGGACGTTTGGGTACCTGCTTATTAATATTTGATGCATTTGCAATTTCAATAGGATACAATTTCTCGATCCTGTAAACGTAGTAATTTAAACGTAGATAAGATAGCTACATCAATCAGTTGGTCCAAGCGATTCAAGCATGATTTTCATCGCTTCACACACATGTAAATATATATATATATATATATATATATATATATATATATATATAATATTTATATAAATGTTCACTTACATAGCACAAACATACAAACAAGGAGCTAAGTTCCGGAGCTAATTAGAACACGTGTGCTCATCTAACATTCAGGTATGCCGTCATGTGCAGTTGCTGGCATTCAGAATCACGAAGCAGACCGACATTCTCCGAACTGAAATCGTCCATAGAGTCCATCTTTACATTTGACCAGGATTATCTGACACATCAGAAAGAGGCAAAAGAGGAAAGCCAATTGGTTCAAATATCTGAGCATGAAAAGAATAATGTCTATGAATTTTCAATGATCGAATCTTTTTAATAAACGAATTAATGAACAAAAAAATTATTAAATTAATAATATTAATATATGAATAAAGGAACGAATGATAGTACAAGAGAGTGATTTAAACCAATTAATAGATAAGTGAATGGATAATTGGATCCTAGAAATTTATTTTGATTGATGATGATTGGATCCAAAGAAAGTATTTTACGTATAGGATTTGTTCATTCTCGTCAATTGGATTCAAACGTTTTGTTTTACTGGACTTCAATAAAAAGCCTATGAGGACCTTCAATCTTCCAGAACATGATTTTTTTAACTCTCCATAACTATGATTGTAGTTAGTTTTACAAAGTTGGCAGAATGCTCAACTCACAGTACAATTAGTTCTGATGAAGTCATTTGATTTATATTCTTTTTCATCTTGATCAAAAAAAGTTTTGTAAGTCCGGAGAAAATTATATATATATTTATTTTTTAATTTTTGGTCGTTAACTTTTTTACATATTTGGTTTGCATAATTAAAAAAAATCCGACATTTTTTTTTATTCATTTATATATATATGTATTAGGTATTCATAGGTATAGGTATTCAACCAGGGCAAAAATGCCCCAAGGGGGTATTTAGAAAAATAGAGGGAATTGTTATTAGCACCTCCTCCTACGTGGCTGAAACTAGATTTGGTGCTGTAACAAAGCATAATGAATAAGCATTAAGCAAAGAAATAGCCTGGGTATAATCAACAGATCTTCGACTTGCTTTGACGAATTGAAAGCCTAACATTTGTATGATAATATTGTCAAGAGGCGTGAAGCGCAAGGTTACCATCAGCTGAAATTCAAATATTCAGTATTTTACTAGAAAATTAAGGAATGACTTGTGATTGTGACAGTAGAAATGATTTTTTCTCTGGTCGTCAGTTATATATATATATATATATATATATATATATATATATATATATATATATATTATTGATGAAAATCACAGCATGTTCAGCGTTAGATAACGTCCAATTTAACTTTTCGATTTTTCTAACGGTTGATCGTAAATCATTTTCAAGTTTCTTGAGTTTAAAACCAAAATTTTAGTTTATTTTATGCATGATAGAACAAAATAAATTTAGAAACAGAGGAATTATCGATAATGAAAATATGCAAAAGTGTTATATTAGAGTTTTACAATCGTCTAATAATTAGACGATTGTAAAACTAATAAAATGAGGGTTAAGTACTCACTTTGAACAAACAAGGAGTCAACAAAGTATGGGCACATACAGAAAATATCAGAAACGTGGTTCTTTTTTTTAATTGTCATTAGCATTATTTTACTTGAAAGAATAAAATATAAAAATAACTAATAAATGAAATTGTAAAAAGCATCGAAGGAGAGCATCGAAGGAGAGCATCGAAAATTACAATAAAATGTAAAAATTCAGACAACAAATCCTTGACATACCATCTCTTTAGTATCGTAAGAATAGAGGTGATATGATCCTAGTTTATCGGATAGTTCACAACATATTTAACCTAACGATTTGCCCAGTTTTAAACCGTCAGATCTTCTATTTGAATCGTGTTCAGGCCTGGAAGTCTTTACCCATGAATATAAATAAATATATCCATGGCTTTACCAGATAATATTGTTGAGGCATTAGTTCTTGAGACTTTAAAAATTAAATTAGAAACTTTTTATGCTTATGAAAATTTAATACACATTTAATACATGTTCAGAATTCCATCTCTATTTCTTAATTTATGAAATGAACTTGATTTTTTTTTATATTGTATTTTTCACGTTCTAAATGTTTATTGATGCATTATTTTCTTTAGGGCAAGGGGCTATTTGCAAAAGCCTTATTTTGTTATTTTAAATTTAATCTTCCTGCTTATCTGGTTGATTGGCACAGAGTTTTAAATTATGTTTCATTCGTTTAAATTAAATAAATCTTAAAAAATTTAAACATTAGACACACACACACACACACCACACACACACACACATATAATATATATATATATATATATATATATATAGAATAGAACCTTATATATAGAATATAACATTCTTTACATATACGACGTAAGTTGTCGCATGTTGGCCGGCGAGATGGCTCAGTGGTTCAAATGCTCGCTGAGTCAAACATCTCAATGGCTATCATATACTCAACGTATATGATGCGGTGCTTGCGCGTGCACATAAAATACATGTGTACGTCGTTTGAAAAGGATAAACAGCCTTTGTGGCGAAGATGGCTGCTTCAAACCAATGGATGAAGATATGAAGAACATAATAAAAGATATATAATAATATATCTGTAAAATTGTTAGTGGTTCTGCGTATATCAAAGCTGAAATAATAAAGGCTAAAAAAATTTTTTTATATTTATGTTATAAATATATATGACATTAGACAATTGCAAAGATAACTAATATTTATGAATTCTACATAATTATTTTATTTAACTATCTATGATTGCATATTTTGGTTTTAAGTGGTTCGACGGTTTTGACAATTTTATCGATAAAGGTTGAGAATTAGTAGATGATCGTAATTAAGAATCAACGATTACATTGAAACATATTTCAAGTAAACGTTCGGCAGGGTAAGTCGTGAATAATTAGCCGTTAAGCTCCTCCCACTTTTGTTGATTGTCACTAAAACCCTAACTGCACAATTTTTGCTTAATTTTACTTTTATCTGTTTGTTATTGATATTTATAAATAAATCAGTTTATTAATTCATATACGAATGATATATAACAGCAGGCATATCATTGTCAAAACAAAAAGTGGGCTGAGTTACGGTGTAGTGTTCTTGATTACCAACGTTTTTTAGTTTAGTGATGTTTTGTTAGAGAATTTTCTGAACAAACACATTATGTCGAGTGTGACCATGGCTGCCGATTCAACTCAATGCGGTGACTATTCTCGCAAAATGACGAAACCGAACGAAAAAGTCGTGAAGAAGAAACGAAAGAAGTTCAACTCCACGCCACCAAGTTCAAGCAGCAGTAACAGTAGCAGCGATAGTGGCAGTGGTAGTGGGGGGGAGAGTTCCTCCAGTGCTTCTGATAATGATTGTAGTAGTAGTGGTTCCTCATCATTATCGTCGCCCAGTTCATCTTCCGGCGGGAGGCAAAAAAGAGATGCCAAGAAAAAATCGGTTGTTATATAATATAACATTACTGATTTATAGATTAAATTAAATAATGATAAAAAATTAATTGTTTTAGTTATTTATTAGTTTTTGACATAAATTTTTTATTTATTACATCATAATATTTATTAATATTATGTATTTAATTGTAATAATATAAAATTAATAAATCAACACTGTGTGATGCATTCTAAATAAGAAGATGCGTTCCGAATTGGCATATCATGCACACGTAATTTATTAGTATTCACTAGCTAAATTTAAAATAAATAATATTTTATTAATTGTTTATTAACATAACAGCCAATATTAATGTTGATAGTACATAATACATACTCACTGTCAATTAACAAAAGTTATTTTTTAAGATTTAAAATTTTTCATTAAAATTACATTACATGAAAGTTAGTAAAACTTTTAAAAAATGCTTCAAAATTGAAAATAGACATAAAGCAAATCAAAATCACCTATTTTATTGAATGGAAATTGAGAATGATTGAAATAAAAGTCCAACAAACATCGATCATGTTATTCCTGAAAGCACTCTATGCATAGAGTCATGGGCAACTGAATGAAGAGGCATCAGAATGGCCTCCCAAAGGCCTGCTCGAATAAATACTGCTTTAAATGGTTCTTTAATAGTTTTAAATTGGTTGTTGAGTGAAAATAATGTAATGAATTTAATAGAAAGTAATGTCAATTTTAGCTCTTCGACACACACATTCACACTTACAACTATAAATTATATACCTACAAGCACACACCACAAAAATAGAAATGAAAAATCATACGTACAATCACAATATACACAATATTTTATTAACAATTGCCTAATGAAATATTATATAAACAGTTGGTAAACTTATGGGCATCAATTAGCTAATATAAATTAAATAGGTTAACAGTATCAAATAACCTTCATTTTTACATAGCTTTTAAATAATTTTATTCTATTATTATTCTTCACTCTTTACAATTGAGCCTTTACTCTTGTGATGAGTTTCTATCTAACTTCATTAAGGTATGTGGCTTAGCTGAAAGTTTCATTTCTCACTTTTTTTGATAAGTTTTTTGCATTTCTTGACTGAAAATGTAAAGAAATTGTGAATGACTTGACTTATTTCATCTAGCTTCAAAAACTTGCTCGCATATTTTGGTGGATTCTTTGAATGATATATTCTTTCTCATTAAATTAGAAGCGATTATATTGTGAATCAATATTTCATCATTATTAATATCCTTTATTTTTTAATTTTAAATGCAGAGTAAAACTTCTAAAGGTAGGAAGCGGGCAAGCTGTGAGAGTGAGTGTGAATCTGACCTCGACCTGAACAAAGAATTGCTGCCCATTGCTGGCTACATGGATGACAAGAAGCAGATGGTGGACAACATGTTTAAAAGCATCAGCAGCATCAAACTCAGAACAATGTTGCCAGAGATTTTGAAGGTTGCTACTGTTATTATCATTTGCTATTAAATTATTTTTTTTGTTAAATTTTTTTGTTGTTTTGGCATTGATTAGATGCTTTTTAAAATCTATTTTTATGAGTTCCATTTTAGTTAATTAATTTTTATTGGCTAGTGTTAAATTGTTATGTTACAAATTCTAATAGATTAAATTAGATATCAATTTATTTGTTGTTATCAATTTTTGTTGGGTGGTAAATTTAACCTCATTGTGTGATTGACTTCAAGAAACCAGTCAGGCTTTTTTTTTCTGGTATTGTAAAGAATGCTCATGTTAAACATCTGCATATGTCTTGCATGGAATCATAGTGATTTTACAAAAGTGTATGCAAGAACTCTGCTGATGAGTAGTTTTGCCGGCACCAAAATTTGCAACCCTCGTTTTGTACGATGTTAACAAAAATATTCTCACACTCATTGAATCAGTGATAAATTCTGGTGATGTTTCAAAATCCAACAGAACCTGCGTAAAAAATTAACTTCATCTGTTGTCGGCCAAATAAAGATGCAATCGAGAAGAGTGATTGATTAGTTTAGTGCCATTTATCTCCGGGTGATTTGAGATGGTACATTTTATATAACAGAAATCTTGTGTTTCTTTGCTGAAAACATTTTCAGTTGATCAAACAAGATTTGGAACTAATTTTTAATTAATTTTTAAAACGTTCCTGGTATCGACTGTTCAAAACATTATTAAATATTATAAAGAGTGGTTTTCTGCATGATATAACTAACGTTGCTTATTAAAAATACAGTTATTTTTTTGTTATAATATGCAGTTGCCTGTTCAACTATAAAATATTATATGTGTGTATATGGCTTTTGGGTATGTGTACATGTATGTATTTCGTATTTTTTTATTTCGCCAAATCATTTCAGACAAAAATTTAAAAATTGAATGCTTGAAATGAAATTACATGGAAGCCACAAAAAATTACTATTATTGCAATACATTTTTAAAAAGTTCATTATTCTAGTCCATTATCCAAAACAAATAAAAAAAAAGAAAAGCAAGAAGCAAAACATCAGATATTGTTCATATTTTTTAATTTATCTCTTAAAAAATTTTCAAGTTTAATTTTGAATAAATGTAGTAACTTGATAGATTTAATTTCTGGGAGAGTAATTTTGTCCCATACTTCTTTGGCCTAGTAAATTTTAAACTGGATGGATCAATGTTTGAACTTGTTGGGCGATGGAGAGCTACAATTTCATTAGATGACACGCTTAGTTTTAATATTAATATAGAGCATGTCAATCACTTCATCTTCGTACACAGAGTCATTACAAACAGTGAAATCGAGATCAGTTTTGATGAACATCCCAACTCCTTGTTTATTGGCTCTGTTTTTATAGACGAAATTGTAGTTGTTCAAGTGATTCCCAGAGGTGGATAAATCATTACATTTTTAACAAATTCCTGATTTGAGATCACCAGATATAAGATGTTAGCTGACTGACCACCTCTAAATCTTGTAGGATTGTTGATGTATTGTAATAAAAACTTATCTTTCAAGATATTTAGAAATTTGTTCTCAATTTTGTCGTTATTACCTTTACAGCTGAATGAATCCCAATTTATCTCAGGAAACCCTCCAACATCATAAAATCTCCAGTCATTGCCAGTCCTTCAGCTTTCAGTGATAACAGCTTGCTGTTATTTTCATCATTAGATTAGGGGCTTTTGTAAATCAATCAATCAATCAATCTTCGTTTTGCGTCCAGAGACCCGGTTTCCCGAGGTAGAACGTTGTTTTCTTTGCCATCAACTTTTTGCGCCAAATTAGACGATCAGTTGTATCCATTTCATTTAAATTTAGAGCTTTCATGTCTTGCTCGATTGTTTGCGACCAGGACTTCTTTGGACGGCCTTTGGGACGTGTGCCAGGTACTTCAACATCTGCAAGAGAAGTTATGGCACTGTTTCCACTTCGTTTGACATGACCAAACCACCGCAGACGGTGTTGCCGGCATTCGTCCTTTATATCATCTAAACCAGCACGACGCAGGATTTTGGTAGATTTGACTAATTCGTTGCATCCATCGGAGCATTTTCATGTCGGTTCGTTGAAGTTGTTCCAGTTTGGTTGTCATTGGCCATGTTTCTGCACCATATAACAACACCGGACGTATCACAGATTTATAAAGTCTTGATCGTAGTGGTAGTGGGATGTCACGCCGCATCAATATAGAGGCAGGAGATGCCATTTATTCCAGGCTGCACGTATGCGTGCTCGAACGGCAGCTTCAGCTGTTCCAGTACAATCCAGAACATCCCCTAGATATTGAAACGATGTGACTTTCTCTATTTTAATGGCTTCAAAAACAGTGCTATTTTGAATTTGTTGTTGTGGATTGATGCAAGCAGGACAAACAAAATTGGACACTTTAGATAAAGTACCAATTATTTTTGATCAACGTTTGTGACACCACTGGTTACACTGCTGACACTTGATTGAATTGTTACCTACACCAGCTTTACAAACTAAACAGGGCCATCGTCCAGTAGCTGTGGATTGGATGGGTTCACCAGTGTTCATTGCTTTGGTTTTGCTGATATTGACTTTGAATCCATGATCGGCGAGTCTGGTGTTCCAATCTTCAAACGTCTGTGCTGCATTCTGCTCAGACGTGGCAGTTAAAACGATATCATCAGCATATACTAGATTCCAAATGTCACCAGTGCGTATCGGTTTTGTGATTTCTTCCATCACAGTTATAAATAACAGTGGACTGAGAATCGAGCCTTGGTGAACTCCAACGCCGATGTCAAATGCATCTGTGTTTCCAACCGTTGTGCTGACAAGAGTCTTAGTATTCGTATACATTTCCATCACAAGTCGAACAAGATATTCTGGAATGAGTTGTCGACGTAGACTCCACCTGATTGCTTCACGGGGAACTCGATCAAATGCTTTTTCAAGGTCTACAAAAATGTGTGATAGTTGTTGATGCTTTGCGAGGTACTTCTCTTGCAGTTGCGGAAGGATGTGAATTGCATCAATTGTTGATTTCCCCGCTAGAAAACCAAATTGATGATTTCCAATCGTGATGCACGACGTTAATCTTCTCTCAATGACTTTTTCGACAATTTTCAGGGAGTGTTCTAACAGACGTATACCCCGATATGATGAACAGTTCAATGGATCATCTTTGCCTTTGTATAGCGGGACTGTCATGCTATAGTTCCATTTAGTCGGCATTGAGCAATTTCTCCAGATTTCACGGCAAAGTTGTAGTAACGTTTGGATACCTGCAGTACCAGATGCTTTGATAATGTCATTTGTGAGTCCAGAAGGCCCTGCTGCCTTTCCATCCTTCATAGCTTTCAGAGCTTCTGTAAGCTCCTCTACGGTGATGTCTGGAATCGGATCTTCGATGGGTGGAGCGTCAAAGTTAACATTGATGGGATTTGTTTCGTTTGTAAATAAACAAAATATTCAAAATCTTGTTGGAAAAACAAAGCTTGACTAACATAAACTTTTTAAAAGTTGAATTTGTGACAACCTCGTGTACTTTTGTAGAATAATAATAAACTTCTTCTATTAACCTCAGCAAAATCAGAAGTGAGTACTGAATAACCATCTAGATTGACTTCTGACAAAACTCTAAATGAACTGAGATTCTTAGGATTGACTTCATTCAATGCAATTAAATCAGGTGAATCAACCTGACTTCCCAAATAAAGCTTTAATTCATCAAATTTGTTTGACAAAGAATCAACATTAGACCAAAAAACACTTAAATTAATTTTACTTTCAAGGCTTGAATTTATTCTGACACTAAATTTTGTTTTTTAAAAGCAACAACGTTAAAATCTCCTGGTTTACTCTTTAATCTGAAAGACCAATTAGCAACATTATCGTTGGCACCAATCTCCTTTTTTTATCTTACAACATTTTTTTGTTGTTAACTCTGTCTTCCCTGGATAAATTATGATTAATTATGACCTTTTTGAAATTAACAGATTTACTCAATTTATAACAGTTTGCAAGCACCAGATTTTTAGTGTTAGTACTTACAAACTGTACCAAGATGGGTCTTGACTTGTTCTCATCAGACTTCCTACCCATCCTGAACACCTCAATCACTTCTGAATCCATATCTGAGCCAGTAATTTCCTTTAACATGTTGTTGACTGCAATTTTGTGGCTATCACTCTCTGGCATATTATAGATAATGATATTATTTTTTCTTTTCTCCTTGTCATTGAATGTTTCGAGTTTATTTGTTGTGTCAGCAAAGTAAATTTGTGCCACCTTAAAATCAGTACTTTTCCTTTAACTACGTCAGGAAACAGCCTCATTGTTTATTCACTCTTTTCCTCATTTAATCTTGTTGATTTTTTATTCTCTTCTAACTGCTTCAGTGAAGTTATAGAAAATTCTTCAAAACTTTTGCTGAGAGTGATAAACTGATGATTTTGACTATTTATGGCCTCTTCTAGAACATTTATATTTTTGAAAAATTCTACGTGCTATATTACAATACGTAAACAAAGAAAAATGCGCTCGGGTTTATTTTACCAAGGCAACTACAGTGTGCTTTTCGACCCCCTTTAACTTTGAGTTACCGAAGGCTGATTCATTTAGTTTACCTATTGTCTTGTTTACATTTGAAACACATTTTTTATTCGCGCATTTTATTTTTTTACGAGATTGAACAAAGTGAAATCCGTTGTCTTTGTCATCAGTGTTGTTGATATTTGATAATAAGTTAGACTTGGCAATATTTGCAAAGCTAATCAATCAATCAATCAATCTTCGTTTTGCGTCCAGAGACCCGGTTTCCCGAGGTAGGACGTTGTTTTCTTTGCCTTCAATTTTTTGCACCAAATTAGACGATTATTTAAATTTAGAGCTTTCATTTTACCAAACATTTTCTTATGAAATAATTTATAAAATACGTGCAAATAAAAGATCTTAGTTGGCCTGTCTTAAAGCATCATTTGGCCCCCCAAGGGAGGCCGGCCCCACCGGTTGAAAAACCCTGACATATATGAATAATTAAATTTAAAAATGATATATAACATTCAGTGGTAGCCAAAAATGATTTCTTAAAAATAACTCCTAGAAGTTTAACCTAGTAAAAAGCGACATTATTTTCCTTTTTCCCCCTCATCGAAATTCATTGATTAAATCATAGTTTATCTAACTAGGTTTTTTCATGAATAGAAAATTTCAGCTCTTCTTTGTTCGTATTTTCTCTTTCGGTAAGCAAAATTTTCTTACCCCACGAGATTTCCTCAGCAGTGTAAAGTCCATCTACTTCACTTCTGAAACTTTCATTGTTCAATAATTCACATTTGTTTGATAGCAATCCATAAAATCTCAGAAATCAAAACAATTCATGTAGTTATGTTGAGACTTTGAACAATGATATTTGTATGTCTATATGTTTTATTTTGTATTATTAATGTTTCATTTTTTCCATTATGTTTGTTATTATTTTTATTTCAGTATCATGTCATTTTGCTGTACATAAAAGTCATATTTGTTCATATATATTTTATCTATTGCTACATTTTTACTGCGTTACGTTATTGATCTATGCTCTTTGTTTTGTTCACCTGATTAATGTTGAATGGAGAAAATAATTTGATATGAAACAGTCGACACCACTGTCTGAACTGAAGACGTTATGTTATGAACAGTTGGATGTGATGTCATGCAAGAGGATCTTGAGCATACTCCGTGGTCAGTTCCATTTCATTTGCTCCAAACAACATGTTAACTATGGAAATATCGTTTTAATAATTTTCAATTTTTCCCCTAACTTTAACATTTTATAACTGTTTGTATGAATATTTAACGTTCCTCGTGTTAGGTTTTTGTGAATAAAGATCCTCAGTGTTCTAGTGAACTGTAAGATGTATAACAGCCATTTTGTTTTGTTATTTAACATATTGAACCAACGAACATAGGCATGGACCCGACCGAAATATCATCAACAGAAGATGAAGATGAATCTGTTGGCAATGCAGATGACAACAATCAGTCATCCACGAAACCAGCTGCTGGTCAGTGCAAGCATGTTTCTTATTAATCAATTTAAATTGGTTTATCAATAGGGTTATATGTGGTGGTTAATAAGTATGTCTTGTGTATATGTTAAGACTGACATGAACGTTTTGATGCTGCCTTACAGACATGAGGACGTCTCAGGAACTGTCTCAACTACATCAGCATCAAAAACGAATGTCACCTTGCAGTCTTCAGAATCTTCAGCAACAAATGAAAGGTTCCTCAAGTGATGGGGGCAAACAGCCTGTTCAGTCTCAGCAACAAAATCAACATGCACTTGAAAAAGTTGGTGATACAATCAATGATAAAGAGCAGCTTATAAAATCAACATCCACTGCAATGGCGTTCAACGCCTCTTCAACTCCATCAACATCGGTGCCTAATTCATCAAAAATGAACAACGCCAATGGCAATAACACCATTATTGACACCAGCGACACCACCACTAACAACAGCAGCAGCAGCCGCAAGAGTATCACATTGAAAACATCACACGATCTGAACGTGATGGATGAAGATGAGTTGGACTATGACGAGGAGGTCGTGCAGGAAGATGCGAAAACAGATGCCAGAAGCAATGCTCTCAAGCCCCAAAACTTTGAATATAACAGTACCGTTGCTGAATTGTTCGTAGACAACATCAACGATGACTTCAATGACGATGTTGACGACAAGGTTAGTGATGATAGTCATCAGAACAAAGAAAAAAACTTTTCCGACAAAAATGATAACCAAGATGCGAAGCTATCAACAGTCGAGCAAAAGGTGGATGATCGTCAGATTATTCAAACCAATAGTTCTAATATTAAGACTTCAAATGGATTGTGTAATGACAAAAGTTCAGATGCAAAAACTGGTACTTGGACATCAGATACGGTGGCTACAAAACAAGTTGTCACCAAATCGTCATCCTCCTCTTCATCTCTCTGTAAAACATCTTCCACACCTGTTAACTCAAAACAATCTTCATCAAATACTACAACAACAAAAGAACATGATACTACCTCACCACCTCCAATTTCAACTTCATCATCAGCAACAACAAACGCCAACAACACCAACAAAATTGAAATTGACAAAACTCAGCTGGAAATTCTGGAGTTGGAGATGAGGGCTCGAGCCATCAAAGCCATGCTGAAAGCACAGGAAGAGCTTGAACAAATGCAACACAAGCAAAAACAAAGTGCTGATAAAAAACAATCACATTCTAAATCCAGAGATGTTGAACTCAGAGAGAGTTCACACAGAAAGAAAGATAATGATGTGAAGAAGCGGAAAAGTTCATCGAGACATGATCATGGCGACCGTGATGCAAAGTACACGAGGAAGGTTAGCAGATTGCCTTCTCCTGCAAACACAACAGATGAGGCTCCGGTGCAGAGGATAATGATGAGAAAAATATCACCACCAGCACCATCGTCATCATCTTCATCGCATCGAAGGTTCGATAGCATGAGAACATCATCATATGATGTCTTAGAGCGTGACTGCAGAAGATCTGATTACGTAGATTACCATCGTGATGACTTTATGGATGATGATGGATATCGGTTTAGTCACTATCGAAACCACCCACGTGTTTATGAACAGCACCAGCATCACCATCCTGAGCATTTCAGTAGATCTAGAATAGTTTACATGCCTCTACACGACGACCGTGATGACGACGATAGAAGGATGAGGTCAAGATATGATGATTATGATGATGTTGGTGGGGATTATGATTACTGTGATGATTACAGAGATTACGAAAGACCGAGAGGCTACAGAGGTAGGCCAGCTTGCGTGGGCGGTAGGAGGTCGAGGGACGATTTCGCTGACGATCGATATGATGACGATAGACGGTTCATTAGGAGATGATGAGTTCTCACTCACTGCCAACCATCGTTAAAACTGTTCTCATCAAAATATCTTTTACAAAATATTGTTGGATTATATAAATTGTCAAAAGCATTTTTATTTTGTTTTAATTATTTAGTTTCTTTAATTTCTCCAGCCTGTGAATTTATGTGTCGAATGGGCTATATTATTTCAACGATGTTTAGAAGTAAATAAAAATAGGAAGCAAATATTTTAAAAAATGTCGATTGAAAAATTATTTTAAATTTAATTGAAACGTTCTGAATACGCTGATTTTTTTTATTTGAGGTATAGTGTTTTTTAACTTTGCATTCTGACTGAAAATGAAGTTAAGATTAAAAAATATCGGCTGAGTCTTTGTTTTTATTCGGTTGTCCGCGTTCACAGCTCCTGTAGAGATTGAGGGAACTTAGTCATTGTTTCCGCCCGACGGTTCATTCATGTCATGTCCATCTAAAAGTCCATCAACTTGTAATACGATACACTCATTAAATGATTCTCTGTGTTAGTCGGAATGAAGCAAGTTTTACCTGCTCTCTTGTCTCAAAAGAATTTTCAAATTTCTTTCAAAATTTTCAAAAATATATCTGAGTAAATTCTTGGATTCTCGTCCTTTTTGAAACTTGCTATCCCTAATCAGTTCGCTGGTTTTATATATTTTTCTTATTTGCAAATTTGGACAAATCAAAATGTTTTTTAGAATTGTATAGTTGTAGACTTTGACACTCCTTACTACCTACACCAATGTTAAAATTTCAAAGATCTCTATATTTCCAATACTAGTGTTGCAGCTTCCAACGATCGTCAAAAAAATCGTTATTCCGTAGGTTCAAGATTTTCGATAGATGAACACAACTTCTAACGCAAACTTCGTTGAACGTTTATTCGAATGCCAACAGTAATAGAGACACTAAACTAATCCAGGTAACTACATAAATCACAATCATAACTTCGCGTCAAACCTCGCCATTGACTTTGCTACTCTTGCCCCTTTTATACAAGAGATTCTGACAAATACAGCAAGGATAACAATGGCTAATTATATAGCGCAATTCCACCATTCCGGCGGATTTAACATTACCTCCACCTTAGCCTATTATTCCTTAGCATAGGCGTTACTTCTTTATTCCAATAAATAAGGGACAACCTATCCAAATGGTCGACCTTCATTTTTGCCCGTTGTTTTTCAGGTCCTGTAGATCACGTCATTAATCTTGTTAATGATCATGTTCCAATATTTCCAATTTTCTTCACCGTAGGTTATACAACCAGAGCTATCTTTATATTGATTTTACAAAGTGTTGAATGGCCAAGCGAAAAAGATTTTAGCTGCATGCTGTAATATTTTCTGACATCTTTCCTGTCAAGTGATGCAGCGATACAATTTTCATTCTCATAAGCAATGAAGCTGTCGTTGATGCTATCATCAAAGTAGACGAGAACCAAGTTTTTTCCAGGTGCATGTTGTAGGGATTATCTCAAAACTTGAACCCTTGTTTGTCACACCACAAACTAACGAAGTGATTCGTAGGAGCTATATAAAGGAAAAACTGCGATACTATTCTGATAGGTATTCGGGTTGCCGATGAGTCCCCGTTAGGGACGAAACTCGTGTCCAGCCTATCCAAACAAATACTATTCTGTTCTTCTTTTCACTCCCGCTCATTGTTTTTCCTGGTTTGTTGTTCTCATAAATTAGCGCAACCGCAAAATATTTGTGATCCCGACGTGATCGAGGAAACAAACAACGAGAGTTCCCACTCCAATGCGAATCATTCTTCGACACAACAAAACAGGATTGATCTTAACAATTCAATCACACCCATCACGTTTGCCAACACACACGCGAAGATCTGGTGGGAAAATATTGTTGGATTGCAAATCCTAACGACTAAAACTAACAATCTTTAATAATAAATAAAACACCACAAACTAACGAAATGATTCGTGGGAGCTATATAAAGGAAAAAACTGAGATACTATTCTGATAGATATTCGGCTGCTGATGAGTTCCCTGTAGAGACAAAACACGTGTCAAGCCTATCCAAACGAATACTATTCTTTTCTTCTTTTCACTCCCGCTCACTGCTCTTCCTGCTTTGGTGTTGTCATGCATTAGCGCAACCGCAACAGAACCGAATCAAATAAAAGAAAGATAGATTGTTGAGTATGATGGTCTATTGCATATAATCAAAAAGTTGTTCATAAATTTTTATTCAAATTCTGAGAAAAAAATGCATTTTTCAGATAAACGTGATAAACGTTGCCTTAGATCATTCAATCCACAATTATTTAGAAAATCAGTTTTTTGAAACTCTTTAGCTGCTTTTTCTGCCCTTACAATAACTAACACGCGACGAGTAGCTGATGAAGATTTTGTTATCGATCGAAGTTGTTGCGTTGGAGTGAACAAATATGCAGACGCATTCTAAAATTTGGATGGTACTGCATCGTCTTTTAACTTTCCTTTTACCTCCCCATAACAGTTTTGGCAATCTCAGTTCCGTTCAATTTTCTTTTATACCAATCACTAAAACATGTTACGAAATCTGATTGATTAAACAGGAGTGAACAAATTTTAGAATGTTTGTTTGGAACATAATCTTTACTTTGTTCCTTACTCTGATCACCTCCTTATTGAATCTGTATTTTTTTTAGATTTCCTTCCTTCTAATTCATCTATGTCTATTTCTAAAAGATGTTGGTATAGACCTTCTTCAATCTCTTACTGAAACTATTTTTGATACTACCTTATTTTCTGAAGTTGATGATTTTGTCTATGATTTTAATATCTACATTACTTCTGTAGATTTTCGACAGGCGACATTCGAATTCCGCAACCACGCGGTCCCGAACCGCGTCCGCATACAAATATCCACCCGAGCCTTCACTTCGGCGGAGTCTTTCCTGGCCGGGATCCGCCACTCTACAATAGACCCTCTCAGGGTCTGAAAACACGGGCTGGGCGGAAGTTTGTTCGCGCCCTGCTTGTTGACTAGAGACGCCGACCTCGTCAACTATCAGCAAGTCTTCTTCAACATACATTATTTTAGGTAAAATAATTAAGCCGAGCCAAATTTCAAGTGTACACTTCTTTTATTCAATAAAAAAAACAAAACAAACAAAATAGTACAAATCAAACCTCTGTCTTTATTAGCAAGCGATAAATCCAAAATAAACAATCTATTAATAATGTAACTATCAGACAGGTGAAACTAAGCTAGAAACAAAACCTAAAATAAAAATAACAAACGACCACCCTATATCTCAACTCGCTGCCTTTTATATGTTTTTACCGCCCTATCTACATAACGCTTTCTAGATCATAGAAAATTCTATACTCCCTTCTATACTCTTTTCATATACTCAGAACAGCGCGTAGCATGCGTCCCATATATTGCTATACTCCTATATTTAAAACAGCACATAACAGCGTCGCATATATAGCATATCAAATAATAAGATATACATACATAGAATGTCTATTAAAATATATAGATATATACAGGCGGCACGCCTCAAAGACGCAATCTTTATCATCGCAATCGTCACAATTTCAAAAAAATTTACAGGCGGCATATTTCAATCATGCAATCATTATCATCGCCATTGTCACAATTTCACACTTCTTTTCATGATAAGCTTATTTCTTTTGAATCTTTTACTGATAGGCTCTCATCCTTAGATCCTACCTCTTTATCTAATTATAGACCTATTACTAATATTTTTTTCATCTCTAAAATAATATGACAATTAGTTTTTAATCAATTGTCATCTTATTTAAACTCTAACTCCTTGCTACCTGCATCTCAATCTGGTTTCAGACCTGATCACAGTACTGAAACTTCTTTACTCAAAATACATAATGATATCCTTCTCTCTAGGGATAATAGTAATCTTACTCTTCTTCTTGCTCTTGACTATTCGTCTGCATTTGAAACTAATAATCATACTATTCTCTTAAGACTGCTAGATCTTTCTTTTAATATTACCGATTCTTGTCTATCTTGGTTTTCTTCTTATCTCAAATCGTTTTTCTTCTGTTGTTCTCAATAATTCTACTATAAAATAATTTTTTAAATTCGCACATTCATAGTCTCAATCTAAATTATTTTTTAAGTACTTATCAGATATATTAATTGAACCTAAACGCCGTGGTTTACGATCGTCTTTTTGTTCTCGCTTCTTCTTAACTCGTGATAAACACTTTTTTGCTAAATCTGCTTTCGTTTTTTCTGGCCCTTTTCTCTGGAACTCTCTATCTATTTCTCTGACTACTTCTCCCACACTTACAAAGTTCAGAGCGGATCTTAAGACCCATCTGTTTGCAAAATTCATTGAGGAGCGCTGTTGAGCATTGCGGAAATAGCGCTTTACAAGCTGATTGATTGATTCACAAGAAATAGCATGTAGCAATCTAGCGCACAAATCCGAATTTTTAATGGATAGGCGTGAAACGATACGTCATTTTTCTCGTAATTTGCTGCATTTGATTTGTATCCACTTTAATATCCCGCTAGTAAGTGTGTTACATGACACTTACAACCGTTTTGATTGTTTACGCCTTCTGCTAGTAAGTGTTTTAATTTGCAAGCGCTTCACGCAATTTCTAACCACTAGTTCCTATCTCGGCTTCATTTCTGTAAAAATATAAACGGTAATTAAACACGTGTTTATTTTGAACATGTTTTTATACCTTCAAAGCACCAATTAAATAATGTAACTTTATGAGACATTCAAAATTTGAAAATTTAAAGTATGAAATTAAACGATGAAGATAATCAGAAGGAATCATCCTTTACTGGCAGTAAGCTCTTTAACAAGCTTTGCACTTGTCCTGCGCCTTCAATGTCATCAACATTCAAATTGTTATAAATTATTAACTACTTTTTAAATTTATTATTGATCATCAAAAGTTAGGAAGGAGTGATAATAAGAAAATGATGATAATAAATTAAAAATTGTAACCACCTTGGTGAGAGTGTGTGAGAGAAGATGAGCGTTTTTCGCTACCTGAAAGGTAGTCCAATATCAACACATTATCATTACGATTAAATGAATGATCAAAATCAACCAACTTCAAGATTGTACAAACTTGAAACTAATTTGGAGTCTGGCATGATCAACATGAAGACTGACATTTGTTCTTCAAATACTCTGGTGCGGAATTATTCACACTCTTGAACACTATTGTGCAACTTTAAAAATTATTCGCTTGTTGACAGTCAACCAACGAAGCTGAGCAAGAATCGGAGATACATGATCAAATTTATATACGTCAATTTTGAGTCAACGATTATTCCCAGATTTGTGGCATTACTGCTACACTCGATATTATGTCCATCTAGAGTAACAAAATCAATCTTGACTCGCGACAGCTGCTGCCATGTGCCTACTTTCATCAGTTTAGTTTTACCCTGATTGAGTTTCAGTCGATTTGATAACATCCACACACTCACCTCAGTCAAACAATGCACTAATCTAGTAACAGCATCTTGAAATTTATCAGCAGGACAGCTGACAATCATCTGTATGTCATCTGCGTAGGCATGACAAAACACCCCAGATTTATTTATTATTTCTAGTACGTCGGACGTATATAAAAAAAACAGTATCGGTCCCAAAACCGACCCTTGTGGTACACCAGATGTGACGACATCTGTTATTGACAACTCATCGTTAAATAAAACCTGCTGTGTTCTTGACGTGAGATAAGAGTTGAACCATGAATGAGCAACACCCGTGACCCCAAAACTGAAGTGGATTCGTTTCAACAGTATCTCATAGTCGACGCAGTCAAAAGCCGCACTCATATCTAGGAACGCTAGCAATGAAATATCCTGTGCGTCCACAGCCTTGTATAACATCGACGATTTCTGCAGCAGAGCAGTTTCCGTTGAGTGGAACTGTCTGTAGCCTGATTGATGAGCAGACAACAAGTTGTTACGCGCCAGATACTTCAACAGCCCCCGAGCAACGATTCGTTCGATGACCTTTGAAATAAACGAAAGATTGGTTATTGGTCTATAATTATTTAAATCGCTCACATCCAGATCTGTTTTTTTAAGAATAGGTACGACTATGCCATGTTTGGCCATTTTAGGGAATTTTCCTGTACTTTGACATAAATTAATAAGTTTTGTTAAAAATCTGGAAAAGAGAAGTATATGCTTTTTAAGAAAATGTGTTGGGAGACTGTCTAAGATACACGTTTTTGTGGGAGATTCACGTATTACCTTCACAACATCATCTTCAGTACATAATGCGAATGACGAAAATGTTTCACCACCCTTGGTTTGCCTGCTTGGAAATAATGGATCAACACTACCTGATGTAGCCTGTCGAACCCTGTTAATTTTATCTCTAAAGAATTGAGAAAAATCATCACTTGTAAATTTCCTGTTGTAATCATCGCAACTGTTGTGAAGGTTTTTGCAAAGCATTTTGTTAACGTCATTTCACAATCGCTTTGGATTACTTTTATTTTTGTCCAAACGAGTTTGCCAAAACATATTTTTTTTTCTCAGTAAAAACACGGTTTTTCATCTTGATAGCATTGACCCATTCTTACCTGCTACTATTTAATAAAGTTCTCCTGTAACATCTTTCCAATTTTCGACACTTCCTCTTTAGGTGCCTGCATTCTTCATCAAACCATGGGACATTCAAATCACATTGACTCTCAACCATATGCAATGGTGCAACCTTATTGACAATATTACAGACTGTGCTATTGAACAGTTCAAACATCTCATCAACGTCCATGCCATCACAGGGTGTGCTTATAGGGGAATCGTGAATAAGCCTAATGAATTCATCATTCCTCACTCGCTTCCACGACCGAACCATCTTCTTAATTCGTACAAGTTTTTTAAACTTGAAAGGCAGACAAACTTTAACTAGGCCATGATCGGAATAAATTCCACTTAGAAAAACTTGAGTTTCAGAGACTAGAATATTACAAGGAAAGGCAATCAGGTCTAATATGCCACCTAGTTCGTGAGTCGGTTCATTAATAACACTATGCAACAAGTTTTTTGCTACTCAGACTTTGTTAGTTGTTCTAGGGTAATTTGGGTATGCTGATTACAAATCTGCTATTCTTTTTGTCATAGGACGTCAGGTTATAAAGTTACAGCTAAAAGATTGTGAATTTTAGGTGCTAAATTAGTCCATTTTCAGCTGTGCTCAAGAATACTCAAAACCAAAACATATTCATAATCTGATTGTTTTTTTATTTATTTAAATCAAAATTATTACATAGGTAATGTCTCAAAGTTAAATTAATAAGAATAATTTGTCGATAATGATCTTTTGCGTTTATATTGACTTTCACTTTCACGCTGTAGAAACCAACAGAAATCCCCCATCGTGTTACTATCAAAACGACCCTGATACCGGTGTTCCATAACAGAGATTTCTTGATGAAATCTTTCTCCCTGTTCATCACTGACAGCTCCTAAATTGGCAGGAAAGAAGCTAAGGTGGGAATGGAGGAAATGGATTTTTAGGGACATTCTACAACCCATGTTTTGGTATACCATTATGAAGTTTTCTACCAAGTTCACATAGTCTTCTGATCTGTGGTTTCCTAAAAAATTCTGAACCAGTGCCACAAACGCTTTCCAAGCCAGCAACTCCACAGGCTCTAGTTGTAATTTGAAATTTGGGTCACGAATAACTTCACGTATCTGTGGTCCAGTAAAAACTCCTGCAGCTATCTTTGCGTTTGTGAGAGTGGTTTTGAATTTATCTTTAAGATAAATAAATCCTTTCGAATCAGTAGGTAGCGCCTTGACAAAGTTTTTAAATATTCCTAATTTGATATGAAGAGGAGGAAGGAAGATTTTGTCAGGATTCACCAACGATTCGTGAAGAATGTTAAATTGTCCAGGTACCGGATCAATTCTCGCAGGCCAGTCTTTGACGAGATAGTGATTTGCATCATCACGACTGTTCCACAGACACAAAAAGCCCATGTGTTTCGTGTACCCCAATTGCATCCCAAGAAGAAGAGCAACAACTTTGAGATCCCCACTGATATCCCAGTTGTGATCAGTGTACTTTATAACTTTAAGAAGTGTCTTCATAGATTCATATGTTTCTTTCATAACCACTGCATGGGCTACAGGAATGGATGGTTTAACATTTCCGTTATGTAGCAGAACTGCTTTTAGACTGACTTTACTAGAATCAATAAACAGACGCCAATCTACAGGATCATACTCATCATCCAATTTTGTCATTAATCCAGCAATGTCTACACAGTAACATATATTGTCCTCTTTGTTGTAAAATTTTGCAAATTCGGTGTGCCGGTCACGAAAATGGGATATTTTAGTTCCTCTGTCCAGTAAATTCCATTGCTGTAATCTAGACCCCAGGAGTTCTGCTTTATTTTTAGTTAACCCAAGGTCCCTTACCAGATCACTAAGTTCTCCCTGCGTGATCATGTGAGGTTTATCTTTGTCGTAATCTGGTTTGTATTCAACATCAACCTTTTCATCACCACTTTGTTCTTCTTCGCTATAAAGAACAGTGTCTGTAGGAGGAGTTGGAACAGGATATTCAACACTGTGGGGAACTGGTTTTATTGCAGATGAACAG